AATCCCATATTAGTGAGATCCACCCATGTTACTACATATAGTTGTAGTTCTCATTGCTTTATTTTATTCCACTGTACGAATAAACCATGCTTTATTTAATCCATTCTACCGAGGTGAGATATTTGGGTAGTTCCGGGTTTGGGCTATTATGAGTAGTACTGCTCTGGTGGGTATATTCCTGGGGGTGGAATTGATGGATCATAGTGTTCGCATATAGCTCTGGTAGATTTCGTAGATTCTGCTAAATGGTTTTCCAAAGGGCTTGCACTGTCTGGCCCTGCCAGAATCCACACCTGGCCTTCTCTCTAGCCCAGTTTCTGCCTCTGCTGCTGTTTCCCTCCAACTGCCTGTCCCAGACACTGTCCGTGGTCCTAGCCCTGACCTTGGTCCTGTTCATGGTTATGGTCCTGTTCATGGTTATGGTCCTGATGGTAATCCTCAGCTTAAACTGAACTTTTCATTCATTCATATGGTCAATATTTATCGAGCACCTAATATGTCTAGATGCAAGGATACGACAGTCGAGAAAAAATCAGGGCCATGCCTGCCCTCATGGACGTTATAATCTAGTAGGTAAGACTGGGTGTGGGCAAAAAAGTATTAAAATAATCCAACCAATAAATATATGATTATAAATTGTTTTTTATTTTTTTAATGTTTTATTTATTTCTGAGAGAGAAGGAGAGACCACATGAGCAGGGGAGGGTCAGAGAGAGAGGAAGACATAGAATCCGAAACAGGCTCCAGGCTCTGAGCTGGCTGTCAGCACAGAGCCTGAACCCACGAACCGTGAGATCATGACCTGAGCTGAAGTCAGCCGCTCAACTGACTGAGCCACCCAGGCACCCCTAAATTGTTATACATGGTACAAATGGGAGTTAACATGGTGCTTTGATATCACATGTGAGGGGAAACCTGACCTGGGCAAGAAAGTTTCCCTGAGGGAGCAACATGAGATTGAGACATAAGGGTTAAGGAGGCCATGAGGAAAGGGGAGAGGGTTTCACATATACAAAAGTCTGGGAAGGGGGTGAGGGGCATAAGGTCAGTGGGACTGGAATGGAGAGAGGGAAGGAAGCGTTATGTGTGATGAGGTGGGAGAGGTCAACAGGGACCAGATGATTCAGGGCTGTTTGTCACCCTCGAAGGGAATTCAGAAGGGAGACACTGGAGAGATTTTAGCGGGAGTGGGACATCCAAGTTGCCTTTGTGAGATTGTATGGGGCAACGGCGGGGGGTGGGGGGAGGCGGGCAGAGAGACCAGCTAGGAGGCCAATACAGTTGTGAAGCAAAAGATAGGTGGTGGCTTGAATTCTAACAATGTCCAAAGGGAGAGAAGTGAGTAAATTAAAGAGACGTTTATGAGAGGGGTGCCTGGGTGACACAGTCGGTTGAACATTCAACTCTTGATTTTGGCTCGGGTTTTGGCTCTCACCATTCATGAGTTTGAGCCCTGCATCAGGCTCTGCATTGACAATGTGGAATCTGCTTGAGATTCTCTCTCTCATTCTCGTTCTGCCCTTTCCCAGCTCTCTCTGTCTCCCTCTCAAAATAAATAAACATTAAAGAAAACAAAAGGGCAAATATGTCAAAATAGGGTGGTCTTGATGGGGGTTAGTTTCTAGTTGTAAAGCTGGATAAATGGTGGCACTGTGAGCTGTGGTGGAGAACACAATGCAGAAGGGGTTTGGTACAGGAAGGGTGGCCATAGTACAGTTTTAGACATGTTGAATTTGAGGTGCTCAAGAAGAGATGCCAAGCATATAGGCAGTTGGATATATTACTTGGAGTTCAGAGGAGATGACTGGGCTAATTGATATACTGGGGTATAGTTTGGAAATTAAAATCCTGGGCCTGGATGAAAGTACTAGGTGAGTGACTAGAGACATAGATCTTAACTCTGGTTGCTCATTACAATCACCTGGGGAGCTTTTTAAAAATACTGAATAGGGGCACCTGGGTGGCTCAGTTAGTTGTGTATCTGACTTGGGCTCAGGTCATGATCTCGTGGTTTGCGGATTTGAGCCTTGCATTGGGCTCTGTGCTGACAGTTTGGAGCCTGGAGCCTGCTTTGGGTTCCGTGTCTTCCTCTCTCTGCCCCATCCCCTGTTTGCATTCTCTCTCTTTCTCTCTCAAAAATAAATACACATTAAAATTTTTTTTAAAAAATACTGAATAAAATACAGTGTTTCTGTTACTCTGGGCACATTTCAAGTGTTCAAGAGCCACATAGCTTTCCTGGCTACTGTATTGACAGCACAGGTATAGAATGTTTTAAAATGGAAGATGTCGTGAGCCATGTCCAGTGATTTTTGAGACAGGTCAAGTAAGATGAAGACAAATGTTTCTCAGATTCTGTGACATTGAGATCTTTGGGAGGTCTTAGGGAGAGCTGTTTGATAGGTTGAAAGGAGGTGGGGAAGCCAGATGGAAGTGCAAGGGGGCATGCATGGGATTTGGGAAAATGGAAACAGCAAGTAAAGATAAGTCTTTGGACAACTGAGGCCATGAAGTTGGGGAGGGAAATATGTGCTGCCTGGAGGGAGTATGAGATTGAAGAAAATTTTGGTTGTGGTCGTTGTTGTTGTTGTTGTCGTTGTTGTTTTAAGACATAACTTTCAGGGTCTCCTGGGTGGCTCAGTTGGTTGAAGGTCTGACTCTTGATTTCTGCTCAGGTCATGATCTCAGCCATAAGTTCCCACATCAGGTTCCACTCTGGGTGTGGAGCCTGCTTAAGATTCTCTCTCTCCCTCTATTCATGCTCCTCCTCTATTCATGCTCTCTCTCTCTCTCTCTCAAAAAAAGATATAACTTTCACATTGTGAAATGAACAAATCTAAAGTGTATAGCTCAATCAATATTTGAATATGTATACACCTGTTTAATCACCACCCAGATCAAAGTACAAAATATTTCCAGTAATCTTATCCTATCTTCTAATAGTAAAGATCAACTCTGTTTTTGAACCTCATGTAAACAGCATCAGTTACAGTGTTCTCTTTTTATGTCTTGTTTCTTTTGATAGCATTATGTGTGTGACATTGTCCATGCTGTTACATGTAACAAGAGGGTGTTTTCATCGCTGTATAATAGTCCATTGCATGATTGTACCACAATTTGTTTATCCATTATACTATTAATGGACACTTGAATTGTTTCATTTGGCTGATATGGAAAAAATTTCATAGTCTTATACATGTCTATTGGACAATATATGCAGTCATTTCTGTTGGATATTTACTGAAGTGGAATTGTTGGGGTTATAGGCTGTGTGTCTTAGCAGATACTGCCTAATAGTTTTCCAAAGTGGTTGCACAATTTAATTTTTGCTCCTGCTTACAGTAGATGAGAGTTCCATTTGCTTCACATTCTTGCCAGTATCAAGCAACAACCTCTTTAGTTTTAGCCATTCTGATGGCAAATAATGGCAGCTCATTGTGGCTTTAATTTGCATTTCCTTGGTTACTAGTTCTGTTATACACACATATATGTTTATTTTCCATATGTTTATTGGTCCTTTGGATATATTCCTTTATAGAGTATCTACTTAAGTCTTTTGTCAGTTTAAAACACTGGGTTGCCTGTCTTTTGTGTGTTATTTTTTGTTTTGCAGGAGTTTTTAATCTCAGATTTTAATCCCATCTCTCACTCTCAGTATCCATCTGTACCTCTCTCCCTCCCCCGTTACCTCCCCACATTTCTCATATATTTTATTCCAGTCCATGACTTGAATTCTTATTCTCTAAATGGTGTCTCTGGATGACCAGAAGCGATCGACTTCATGAATCCTAATGTATTCATCTCTTTTTTATGGTTAGGTTCTGTGTGAAAACTTTTATGCTTAAATCTTGTGTGGTTAGGTTTTTAAAAATCTTTGCTTACTCTAAGGTCGTAACATTTTTTCCTATTTTTCTTCTATATGATATTGTTCTGAAAAGGTATTGTTTTACCTTTCATAATTAGGTCCCTGAGATTCACTTCAAATTAATTTCTGTTTGTGGCCATAAGGTAGAAATAGATTTTTTTTCCATTTGGATTTTTTCCCATTTATCAGAAAGAGCATCTGTTCTCTTTTTAATCACAGTGTCACCTTTGGCAGGTCACCACATGCAAGTGGGTCTGTATCTGGACACTATTCTGTTCTATCCATTCTTGCACCTTTCTAAGTGCAAGGTTTTTGGTAATGTATGTACTGAGGAAGAAGGATTCCATTAAACAACAGGAGCTATATTAGCGCCTATGAAAGTTGATGGGAAGGACTTAGTGGAGAGTGAGGGATTGAATAAAAGAGAGGGGGGGGGTAATCTTCACCCAAGGAGACAGTGGGAGCTGGGAGCCAGGTGCTTGTGGAAGGATTGGTCTCATACACTCATCCGCTGATCTATTCAACATAAATGTGCTGGGTAGCCCTTGGCTGTCAGACACAGGTGTACAGCAGTGCCAGGACAGACGAGGTCCCCGTTCTGATGGAGTTCCCACTTTAGTGGTGGGAGAAAGATAACAGACAAGTACCCAAAACGAACGGGTGATTCAGGCAGCAGTAAATGCCATGAAGAACATAGGCAGGATACTGTGGCGGAGAGTAATGGAAAACATTCCAACTGGACCCCAGGGAAGGTCTCTGAGATCAAAGACATGTGAGTTAAGATTTGAGCAAGAAGGAGCCAGTCTTGAAGAGCATCCCAGACGGAGAGAACATACAGCTAAAATGTCTTTAGGCTAATGTAAGCTTGTAGAATCTGCGGAACAAACAAAAGACCACTGAGGATGGAACAGTAAAGAAAAAAGAAAAAAGAAAAAAAAAAAAGGATACCCTCTGCCCAAGGAGAGTGTCCCTTAGGTTGAGTTGAATGTGGAGTTTTACATGCATGTGAGTAGGGTAGATTAGTTGTGCGTAGTGGGACTGTGGATGTGTATATTGAGGGATGTAGGGAGCCATCTTCTCTCCTTCTCTGTGAAGCTCCTCACATGTGCCCTCTCTCCCCACAGCCTCCTGAGTGATGCCAGCCCAATGGTTCCTAATCTCCAGACTGGCCTTCCTGGTACTGCTGGGCACAGTCAGAGCAGGCCCTTTCTCTCCACGGTCCAATGTGACACTCCAAGCCCCACGCCCCCCTCCCCAGCCAGGAGGCCACACAGGGGAGCCAAGAGGGGGAAGCCCCTCTTCCCGGCTTTATGAGCACACTGTGGAAGGAGGGGAGAAGCAGGTTGTGTTTACCCACCGCATCAACCTGCCCCCTTCAGCCGGCTGTGGTTGTCCTCCGGGCACGGAGCCCCCTGTCCCTGCTTCAGAGGTGCAGGCCCTGAAGGTCCGGTTAGAGATCCTGGAGGAGCTGGTGAAAGGACTCAAGGAACAGTGCACTGGGTCATGCTGTCCTGCTGCTGCCCAGGCTGGCACAGGTGAGCAGATGATCATGGGAGGGGGCACAAAAAAAAAAAAAAAAGAGGAAGGTGGGGAAGTGGGTCAGGGTTAGGTGGTCATCACTAGTCCATAAAGGACCTTGGTATGAATTAGAAAAAGGCACTCCATCTTCCCTCTTGGGGGTGATGAGTGCAACTCGGGGCACAATGTGGAGTGAGAAGCCACCAGGCTTGATGTCAGCACCTCCCTCCCCTGTCCCCAAGCATATGCTAGGGCCTTGAGAGGCCACATATGTTGACTAGGAGTACCTGGAAACAAAGATGACCTTATGAAATGATCCTGGCCCTGCTGGCCGGGGGAGCACAGCATGGGCTCTGTCTCTCCCCAGAGAGACTGAGACCTGCCTCTCCCTCTTACTCCAGGCCAGACAGACGTTCGTAGCCTCTGCAGTCTCCACGGCGTGTTTGACCTGAGCCGCTGTGCCTGCTCCTGCGAACCAGGCTGGGGTGGGCCCACCTGCTCAGACCCTACAGGCGCCGGGGTGCCCCCATCCTCCCCACCCTCTGTCTCCGGCTCCTGCCCAGACGACTGCAACGATCAGGGTCGCTGCGTCCGCGGGCGCTGCGTGTGCTTCCCTGGCTACAGCGGCCCCAGCTGTGGCTGGCCCTCCTGTCCTGGGGACTGCAACGGCCGCGGGCGCTGCGTGCAGGGCGTGTGCGTGTGCCGGGCAGGCTTCTCCGGCGACGACTGCAGCCTGCGCTCCTGCCCCCGGAGCTGCAGCCAGAGGGGGCGCTGCGAGGACGGGCGCTGCGTGTGCGACCCCGGCTACACGGGCGACGACTGTGGGAAGAGGAGCTGCCCTAGAGGTTGCAGCCAGAGGGGGCGCTGCGAGAACGGTCGCTGCGTGTGCGACCCCGGCTACACCGGCGACGACTGCGGGGTGAGGAGCTGCCCCCGGGGATGCAGCCAGAGGGGGCGCTGCGAGGACGGGCGCTGCGTGTGCGACCCCGGCTACACTGGCGACGACTGCGGCTCGCGGAGCTGCCCGTGGGACTGTGGCGAGGGCGGGCGCTGCGTGGACGGCCGCTGTGTATGCTGGCCCGGGTACGCGGGCGAGGACTGCAGCACCCGGACGTGCCCGCGAGACTGCCGGGGTCGCGGGCGCTGCGAGGACGGCGAATGCATCTGCGACGCAGGCTACAGCGGGGACGACTGCGGAGTGCGCAGCTGCCCAGGCGACTGCCACCAAAGGGGCCGCTGCGAGGACGGCCGCTGCGTGTGCTGGCCGGGGTACACCGGGCCTGACTGCGGCTCACGCGCCTGCCCCCGCGACTGTCGGGGCCGCGGGCGCTGCGAGAACGGCGTATGCGTGTGCAACACCGGCTACAGCGGCGAGGACTGTGGGGTGCGCAGCTGTCCCGGGGACTGTCGCGGCCGGGGCCGTTGCGAGAGTGGTCGCTGCGTGTGCTGGCCGGGGTATACAGGCCGAGACTGCGGCACGCGCGCTTGCCCTGGAGACTGCCGTGGGCGCGGGCGCTGCGTGGACGGCCGCTGCATGTGCAACCCGGGCTTCGCGGGCGAGGACTGCGGGAGCCGTCGGTGCCCTGGGGACTGCCGGGGCCGCGGCCGCTGCGAGGACGGCGTGTGCGTGTGCAACGCGGGCTACGAGGGAGAGGACTGTGGCGTGCGCAGCTGCCCAGGAGGTTGCCACGGCCGCGGCCAGTGCCTGGATGGGCGCTGCGTGTGCGACGATGGCTACTCAGGCGAGGACTGCAGTGTACAGCGGTGCCCCCGAGACTGTAACCAGCACGGCCTGTGCCAGGATGGTGTGTGCACCTGTTGGGAGGGCTATGCAGGCGAGGACTGTGGCCTCCGTACCTGCCCCTCCAACTGCCACCAGCGCGGCCGCTGTGAGGACGGGCGCTGCGTGTGCGACTCGGGCTACACTGGCCCCTCCTGTGCCACCCGCACCTGCCCGGCGGACTGTCGGGGCCGTGGGCGCTGCGTGCAGGGAGTGTGTGTGTGCCATGTGGGCTACAGCGGCGAGGACTGTGGGCAGGAGGAGCCTCCCGCCAGTGCCTGCCCTGGGGGCTGTGGGCCCCGGGAACTGTGCCGTGAGGGCCAGTGTGTATGCGTTGAGGGCTTCCGAGGACCTGACTGCGCCATTCAGACGTGCCCCGGGGACTGCCACGGCAGGGGAGAGTGTCGTGAGGGCAGCTGTGTCTGTCAGGATGGCTATGCAGGGGAGGACTGCGGGGAAGGTGAGCAAGTAGCCTTCTGCAATAGAATGGGTCAGGGACTGGGAACGGGAGCCCATGGGAAGGCCTGAGCCTGAGGCCTAGGAGCTCAGGGACCTAGAGGAAGAGTGAAGGTGGTCAGTTTTGGGGGTTTGGGGTGGGGGCCAGTCATAGGAGCCAGAGAGCCAGTGTCCGCCAGTAGCAGCAGAACCATGGGGTCATGCCTGTAGGCAGGACTTGCTTTCAGATCTCTGATGGGCAGGTTGGGGCTCCTTTACTTGTTTTTGGAGAGATTCTGTGTTCCGAAAGATGAGAGGTGGAAGGTGAAGGAGACTCCAGGGCCTGTTCTGGCATCTGCCAGCTTTGCCCCATCTCCAGAAAGGAGCAGGAACTGGGCTCCATCTTTTGGTGTGACCCTGAGTTGGGGGGGGGCGTGATAGGGGTGAGGGGCTGCTTTAGGCTAACCATCTTCCCATATCTCATTCTCCTGGGCAGAGGTGCCAGCCATCGAGGGCATGAGGATGCATCTTTTGGAGGAGACGACGGTTCGGACAGAGTGGACCCGGGCTCCTGGCACTGTGGATGCCTATGAAATTCAGTTCATTCCCACGGTGAGAGCCCAGCTGCAGGGGCAGATTGAGTGGGCTGGCCTCGAGGGAGGGAGTGCTCACCTCTGGCAGGAAGTTCTAGGTAGTCAGTGGTTGAGTCCAGATGGCTAGGTTCCTGAAGCTGCTCTGAAGGCCTTCTCGTCCTGCCCCACACTGGGTCCAGAAGGCCTCTGCAGCATTAGTTCACTGCTGCTGGTGAGAGTGAGCTCAGTACTTCCTGAGGCTGTCTAGTCTGTTGTTGGTCATCACGGGTAGTTCTTTCTGTTGTTGCTGAGTCTAAATCTATCCCATTCTGACATCCCTCCATTGGCCTTATCTGGGCCTCCACCAGCGTCAGAATGTTGCCTTTGCTTTTCTCACGTCCTCCACCACTGGCTTTCAGGTATTTGGAGATGTCAGCCATCACCACACTCTCATTCTCTTCAGGCCAGACCCACCAGTCTCTTCACCCCTTTTCCCTAAGGCTTTGTTCTCCAAATCCCTCAATTCCTGGGCTCCTTCCTCTAGTGCCTCGTGCTTTTTGCATTTGCCCCCAAAATGCGGGGGCAGGGAGGAGCCCCGTATTTCTGGCTAACTCTGGAGACACTGGCGCTTTTTTTCAGAGTTGATGTATGTTAACTTGCGGTCACAAAACCAGCAGCTGTTTTCGATCAAAAATGTCTTAAAGTAACTTCTATTATAAAAGTCATGTAGGCTCAGTGTAGGAACTTTAGAAAATGTAGATAAACAAGGAAAAAAAGAAAGAAGAAAAGAAAAAGAGAAGGAAGAAAAGATGACATTCAACTATATACACTTTTTTAGCCTAAATATAGGCCTCTGCATGTGGCTCTGTTCAGTGTTATCTTTTTTGGTTTGGGCCAAGCTGTCTAAGCTGTTGCAATAATTTGAGTCTGTGAACTGGTTCCCCCGCCTCCGTGTCATCAGTACGCTGCAAAGCATTCTTTCTCTGTCTCCTTCCAACTCGCTCTTAAAATATTTGGGGGCATCCTAAGGTCAAAGCCTTATGGCCTCTCATTAGAGACCTCCTTTTATGCAGATGGGGCTTTTATGATATGTTTGGCCTCGCAGCTCCGAATTATTTGACATCTCTACCGTCTAAACTCATGTTTTCCTGCATCTTCTCACAAATGCCATGGGTGAGTAGGCCATTTACCCCTAATCTCTGCCTGGCCAGAACTCTGGAAGAATAAATAACTTCCAGGGCCTAAACCCTAGGAAGGGTCTAGGACAGAAGGGACAGTTCAGAGGTGCTGGATGTCATCCCCACCCTAATTGGCCTGGTCATTCTTTTGGGGGGGCTGTTCATTCTAAGTGCTTTTATCATAGTCCCAAGACCAGACCCCTACCATGCTCTGTCACTCCTTACTGTCTGGTAGAATCAGAAGCAGAAATCCCAACTTTGCGGTGCAACCAGTACAGCTTAGATTTTTTCTTCTGTTAAAATTTTTTTGTTGTTGTTTTTTGTTATAAAAATAATTTAATCACAAGACAAGAATTTGGCAACTAAGGGAAAAAAAAACAAATAAGCCTTGGCTCCTTCGCACTAAAACAAGCACTGTTAACATTTTAAAGTGTTTCTTCCACTCTCTTCTTCTGTGTGTGTATTATTTACATAACTCTGATCTTGAGAGGATAGGACTTTTAAAAGAAACAACTTTCTTAAGCAAGTGCAGGGAAAGAAGAATTAAACACTTGAGGTAGAAGGAACTTGCAGGGCAGCATTGTCCTCTGCTCTTAGTAAATACAAACCCATCCTCGGGTGTTTTTGAGAAGTGTTTTCAAGAAGCTTCAGCTCTAGGCTTCCTCCCTCACCATGGGGCCAGGTGAGGTCGAGCTGTCCTGTACCCGGCTCATCTCTGGGTATGAACCTCTGTCACATTCTGGGTTCTCTTTGAGTCAGGGTGTGGAAAATGCCCCGGACACCCCTCTTGGACTCCACATTAGCTTGTGCTACTGGCCCTCAGACTGCTTTCTAAGCTTTCTGCGGCTGGCCCTTGGAATCCTGCCTCTGGCCTTGGCCCACGCTCTCTGTCCATTTCTGTTGGCACAGAGTATTGGTAGCTGGCTGTCCTCGGGCACTGCCATCTTCTTAGAAGCGTATCTCTATCTTATCTCCTCCCTTTTCCAGAAGCACGCTGTCCCAAAGCCCAGCCTCTGCCATTGCTGACAAAGGGACACACCTAATTAATCACTGGAATGATTTTCAGAACACAGAAGAGGAACATTCCTCCTTCTCCATGCATATGTGAATTGCTACTCTGACTCAGTGGTTCTCAAAGCATATTCCCTGGACCTGCAGCATTAGCATCACCTGGGAGGGAGCTTGTTACACATGCAGATGGGCAGACTCCAGCCCCAGATCTACTGAAGTAGGAGCTCTGGGGCTGGAGCCCAGTAACCTGCGCCGTAACAAGCCCTCGGGTTCTGATACACCCCGAGCCTGAGGACCACTAGCTCAAGGAATGTTGCTATTTTGCAAAAGGCTGGTTCCTCTCTGAATGTGAGAGGAAGCATGAAGAAACTGAGGGAGTTGAGCCCTTGAAAAAAAGGAGGGTCTGGCATTCTTTGTCTGGCTGTATTCTGCAGCCTAGAAACTGGGCTATGCCACACTTTCATTGGGACACAAGACCTCATGGCCTTAGAAAAGTTTGTGTTCGGGATCTGGTCTGAAAAGTGGATGATGGTGAGGGAAACTCCAGGGCCCAAGCAGGATGGCTTCCCCCACCTTCTGATGAAGCCTTGAGGTTGGTATCAGAAATAGGGTTAGAAACTTGGCAAGGACAATTGATGAGGCAGCCAAGCTTTCAGCAAGGGATGCTAGCATCTGGCTAGAGAGCCTGTCTCAGACCAGACGAATGAGAGAGGTCAATTAGACTGACAGTGGCACTTTCAGAGGACTATTCCCAAGTTGATCTTAGGAGGGACTAAGAGGTGTGTAAAAGGTTCACGGAGGCAGTCTGAAGGGAGAAGGTGGTCTGAAGAACAAGGTGGCTTGTCTTGCTGGAAGGACCAGATATCATCAGGGAGCACCCAAGGGCCGTGTGTGTGTATGTGTGTGTTGGGTTGAGGGAATAAGGGGAGAGAGGAAGAGTAAGTTCTGGGAAGGATGAGGACTTCACAGGTCTTCAGCTGAAGTCCGTCCAATGGCTTCTAGGCTGGGGTGTCCTAGGCCAAGGTGGGTAGGAGAGGAGCAGGGGCCCTGTGTGCCCAGGAAAGCTTTTCAACCAACAAAACTCTGACAAAGCTTTATTTCATCCTCAACCCAGAAATCTCTACGTGGCTTCTCATCTGGTTTTGTACTCTGGTATTTACTGTGTTGGTTTCCCCACAATTTTCTTGGTTTAGGAGAGTACCTTTAGAAATTTCCAATCCTACTTGGCTGAATGGAGGTGTCCTCATCACGGCCAACATAGCTAAGCAGAACAGAGCGTCCTTATTAGCTGTCCTAGCTAGACGGCCCAGTGAAATTTGGAGCAGTTAGACTACTCACAGATGTCCATTCCTCCTGTCTCCTCGGTGACTGGCATTCCAGGAGACCCTGCCTGGAGCTGGTGTATTTCCTGTGGGGTCACCACAATAATCGTAATGCCTTATGTATGCACTTGGAGGGGGTTGTTCACTCAGAGGCATGTATGACACAAAGATTTGGGTACGGATCTAATCAACCTTAACATGAGCTGAGGACGGGAAATATCTTTCATCATGCCCAGCACGATGCCAGGTACAAAATTGGGAAACATATTTGTAAAACTTTGGGCAGGTGGACTTTGTTTTTGAGTGGCCTACAACCCTGCTCAGGAGAGCAGAGAAGTGCCTAATGGGAAATGTCATGCCAGAGGTCACACCCACATTACCCAGCCAGGGGCAGGTGTCTGTGGGGAGGCTGAGGCTGGGGCAGTTGCTGTAAGGAAGGCGTGAGACTTGTAAGGGTCATCCCTCAGTCACTTCATTTCTTATGATAGGAGTGAGCTGGGGAGAAGCCTCCTCGCACCGGGTGGGCAGGGCTCCTGGGGAAAGCCAGAGGGAGAATCCTGGTGTGTGTTGGGTAAATTCTGGCTGACAGCTGATGAACTGGCTTAAAAAGGTACTGCCTGTGAGAGGAGGCTGTGAGGTCACACTGCCTGGGTTTGAATCCCTGCCACTTTCTTGGTGTTGGTGACCTTGGGCAAGATACTTAATCCTTTTGTACCTCAGTTTCTTTATCTGTCCAATGGGAATAACATGATCTACTTCATATGGTTCTTATGAGGATTGAGTGAATTCAAATATACACATTGCCTTGGGGCACCTGGGTGGCTCAGTCAGTTAAGTGTCTAACTTTGGCTCAGCTCACCATCTCACATTTGTGGGCCCCAGCCCCACGTTGGGCTCTGTGCTGACAGCTCGGAGCCTGGAGCCTGCTTCTGATTCTGTCTCCCTCTCTTTTGGCCCCTCCCCCACTCACGCTCTGTGTCTCTCTCAAAATAAAATAAAGAAAAAACATTAAGAAAAATGCAAGTTGCCTTGAATAGCACCTGGTACGGACTAAGAATTTTATATTATATTATTTTATTTTATCTTATTTTATTTTGTTTTGTTTTATTTTTTTTTTTTTTGAGAGAGAGAAAGGGTGCAAGTGAATGAGGGTTAGAGAGAAAGAGAGAGAGAGAGAGAAGCAGGGCTTGAACTCATGAACCTGAGATCATGACCTGAGCCAAAGTCGGATGCTTAATGACTGAGGCACCCAGGTGCCCCAGGACTAAGCATTTTAGATGTGTTTGCTGCTACCACCACACTCCCCAGCTGCGCAGGACCAAGTTCCACACAATTCTATGTTGACACCGCCCGGAGCTCGGAGAAAGAAGAGATAAGGGAGATTGGGCAGCAGAGTGAGAACACCAGCCCTAAACCACCTGGTGCTCTCTTTCTTCCAGACAGAAGGGGTGAGCCCCCCGTTCACAGCACGGGTACCCAGCTCTGCCTCAGCCTATGACCAGAGAGGACTGGCTCCCGGCCAGGAGTACCAGGTCACTGTCCGTGCCCTTCGAGGGACTAACTGGGGCCCTCCTGCTTCCAAGACCATCACCACCAGTGAGAGCTGGGGCTGAGGGCCGGGTCCTGGTTGGAGATCTGGATTTGAGAGGGGTGGCTGGGAATCTGCCCCTCCCAGGAAAGCAGAAGGGAGGAATTGGATGGTGACAGAGCTCTCAGAGGGAAAGCTGGTGATTGAAGAACCAGACTCCCACCTGATCCCTCTTCTCTCTAACCTGGCTAGTGATTGATGGCCCCCAGGACCTCCGAGTGGTGGCTGTGACACCAACCACAATGGAGCTCAGCTGGCTGCGACCCCAGGCTGAGGTGGACCGGTTTGTGGTGTCCTATGTCAGTGCTGGCAACCAGAGGGTGCGGCTGGAGGTGCCCTCTGAGGCAGATGGAACGCTGCTGACCGACCTGATGCCAGGCGTGGAATATGTAGTGACTGTCACCGCAGAGCGAGGCCGGGCAGTAAGCTACCCGGCTTCTGTCAGGGCCAACACAGGTATGCCTGGCAAGGGGCTAGGGAAGGACCCAGTTTCTTTGTGGAGCAGCCCCTTCCTTGGCAGCTCGTATCTAGGATTCACAGGCTCCTCTGAATACATCTGGGTAGGGCAGTCCTGTAGGAGGGCTGCAGGTTGGAGTGTGAGGTCGGGGGCGGGGGAGCTGCTCCATGGAGAGAGGCAGTAAATAGGAGATGATGTCTGATCCACCCAGATGGGGTAGTTCTGCTTGAAACTTAGACACAGGGGCAGGCCTGCGCTCACAGTCAGTGGTCAGACCTTGTAGGGATCGGAATTGGGCAGATCAGAGATCTGCATTCCTGTTGACTTTAGGATTGGGGTTGGGGGGAATTTGGTCTCAGAGCTGTAATTTTCCACTAATCCTCAAGGTCTCTTAACAGATGGATATTTAATTTCTTTTCCTGTGACAGAGGGACGCCCACCTCGCTGTAGCTCACATTTTCTCCTCCCACTCCCCTTTCTCTCCTTCAGACACAGGGCCCCACCTGCTGGCTTCTCTCTTCTTTTTAGGGTACCAAGAGTGGCGGGCTTGGAGGGCGAGCGGGGAGGGGCTCCTGGGACACTGATTCCTTTCTCTGGTTCTCTTTCCAGGTGGGGCTGGGGCACAAGCAAGAGGCCTCTGGCTCCGGTGGGAGGGGATGGAGGGAGGGGCTGCCGTGGGGGGGAGCGCAGGGGCGCTGGGGAGGTGGGCTGCGACTGACCTGCTCTCCCCTTCCCCCTTTTTTGCCCCCGGCAGCACCTGGCCACTACAGTTACCCGGAGGGGCGCCCCCCAGCCCCGCCCCCCCAGCCCCGCCCCCGGCCGGCTCCGGCCCCTCGGCCCCCACGGCCCCCGCGCCCGGCTAGGCCCTCGCGGCCCGCAGAGGACCGGGAGGAGGAGCCTCGGCCTGGGCCGAGCCTGCCGCAGCCCCCTCGGCGGGCATGGGGCAACCTGACCGCCGAGCTGGGCCGCTTCCGCGGCACCGTGCAAGACCTGGAGCGCCACCTGCGGGCTCATGGCTACCCACTTCGGGCCAACCAGACTTACGCATCGGTGGCGCGCCACATCCACGAATATTTGCAGCGGCGTCGGGCGGCGGCCGCCCCCGTCGGCTCCCCCGCCCCCCCGCCGCGTCGCCCCCGCCCCACTACCAGCCCCGACCCCGGCACCTGGAAGCGGGACTCCAACCAGGGCATCTACGGCCTCTCGCCAGAAGGCGTCGACCGGGTGGCTGCGCCCCGCCACCCCAAACCCGAGGTCCTGGGCAGTTCCGCGGACGGCGCACTACTCGTGTCCCTTGACGGGCTCCGCGGCCACTTCGAGCGCGTGGTGCTGCGCTGGCGGCCGCAACCGCCGGCAGAGGGCCCCGGCGGGGAGCTGACCGTGCCGGGCACCACGCGCACCGTCAGCCTACCTGACCTCAGGCCCGGCACCACCTACCACGTGGAGGTCCACGGGGTGCGTGCAGGGCAGACCTCCAAGTCCTACGCCTTCATCACCACCACAGGTAGCATGGGCTGGGGCCGCGGGACCACCCATCCCCTGCCCAGCCTCACCTGCCACTGGAGTCTGCATCCAAGAGTTCTCCCACTGCCTCACTGCTCAGACCGCCAACCCCCTACACCCTCCCCCTCGGCTTTCAAGCCCTACCTGGTCCAGGCTCCAGGGGACCCCACAACAAAGCATGCTCTCCTGTGTCTTTAGAAGCCATCGCCACCCCAGGGTCCTCGGGGGTACCCAGGGCCAGGGAGACCCGGTCTTTAGGGTTCCCCAACACTTTACCCGGATTGCCATCCCGGGCAAACGAAGGGGCATTTGGGGGAAGGGTCGGGTCTGCAAAAACTCACTGGAGCAGTTTGGGTGGGGCACTGGTGTGAAACCAACAGTGTCCCACTCTGACTCACTGCGGTGAGGGTGGCAGAAGGCTGTGGTCATTGGTTACTATTTTCCACAGTTTGGTCTTGACCTCAAAGGGACACATGGGGACTGATGGGGGGCGGGGGGAGGGTTTGGCCTAGAAGCCATCAGACAGCTTGTGTCTGTGAGAGGTGAAACCACTGCTTCTTGAGCTGCCTTTCCAGACCTCCCGGCTCACTTCACGCTTGTCTCTTCCACAGGAACGATGCCGGGCTCAGGGGAGGGGTGCTCTCTGGCTGCCCTGGGGAGGGTTGTGGACCTGTTCTTCCCCCCTAGGGCCCAGATGCCACCTGAGCTGGATGTACCCCCAGACACTGCTCTTTTCCCTCTCCTCACTACCCACTCTCCCCTTGCATCTGCCTTCCCTAACATCACATCTCCTTTCTTTCAGGCTTCTCACTGCAGCACTAATGGAAGCCAAGACCACCACCCAGTGGGGAGGGGGATGTGCTTAGGGAAGGACATGGAGGTGGGGCTGGGGTACATAGGAGCCTTGTGAGGGGAGGGATGGCCAGATTTATTTCTTTTATTTATTGCCTGCAGGCCTGTCTAAGAATATGGCAGACAGGGGTGTTGGGAGGCCAGACCCTTGGGAGGATGAGGTGGTCCACTGAGTGGACTCAGAAGCAGAAGAGGGAGGGTCTGTGGGCTCTGAGAGGCTAGAAGGCAGAACCTGGAGGCTGGGATTTCCTTTCTTGCTCTCATTCTCGACTCTCCTGTTTTCTCTCCCTGCCCTTTCCCAGGGTCCTCTCCCTCAGGCCTCTTGGGGACCACCGATGAGCCTCCTCCCTCAGGCCCTTCAACCACCCAAGGGGCCCGGGCCCCTGAACTACAGCAGCGCCCCCAGGAACTAGGAGAGTTGAGGGTGCTGGGCAGAGACAAGACAGGGCACCTCCGCGTCGCTTGGACTGCTCAGCCTGACACATTTGCCCACTTCCAGCTGCGCCTTCGGGTGCCCGAGGGGCCGGGGGCGCATGAAGAACTACTGCCAGGGGACGTCCGCCAGGCCCTGGTGCCCTCACCCCCTCCTGGAGTCCCCTATGAGCTGTCACTTCATGGGGTCTCCCCGGAGGGCGAGTCCTCTGCCCCTCTTATCTACCAAGGCATTACGGGTATATCCTAAACTCTGTTCAGATTGGTGTCCTGAGGGTGGGGGAGGGGCTGAGCCATATGGGCTTCCGAGGTGGGAGGGGATTGAAGGGCAGTGCTGGTGTTTGGGTTGGAACGGTAAGAGCAAACAAGGAGAGCAAAGGTTGGAGTTGAGGGTTCAGAGGAAAGAGGAGTGGAGGGGGTCTTAGAACAGTGACAGGGTGGGTAGGGCAGGGAGTCGAGGTGAGACAGTGTATAGACTTTTGGCTCTCCACCTGCAGCTTTCTTTGCCTATGTCCTACCCAATTCCTGGTCACTCCTCTGCCCCTCCCACCCCATAGATCTCTCTGGTAGGTGTGGGAAGGCCTCTAGCCCCAAGGATACTGACCCTTAGCCCCCTCTTCCCCTTCCCTTCCCCACAGCCCCCGCCATCCCTTCACGGGCAGGCTAGGATGGTGGCCTGCCACCCCGGGAGCCTGGCCTGCAGTGGACAGTGCTCCAGGGTCCCATCAGCCAGCTTCTGCTGGGGATGGAAGTTCTTTAGCGTGGGGAACTCCACAGCCAGCAGGGCTTCAGAGATGGGTGAGGTCTGTGGAACCAGTGAGGGATAGGGCCTGGGCTTCCCGGCTCTCGGGTTCCCTCCGGGTCCCTCTTTATGGGACTAGGGTGAGCCTCTCTCTCTGCAACCCCAGGTCACGCTCAGCAGTAGGAGAGAGGGTGGTGAGGGAGAGAAAAGTCCAAGTGGGTGCAGGGGTCTTCGGTGGCTCCAGGACAGCAATGAGGAGGTTCTGACTCAAGAAGAACTGGGGCGGGAGGGGGGTGGCCTGAAACTCCCTCAAAAGTCTTGGTGTGGAGAGGGACTGGGACCTTTGTGAAGGACGGGGAGGCTAGCACGAAGGAAGGGCTAAAGCTCTAATTCCAGAACAGAGATGGCTGGCTACTCAGAGAGGGCTGAGGGTAGGGAAATGGAGGCTTTGAGGGAGGGAGCAGAAGGAGTGGGCTAAGGAAAGGGAAGGAGACCAAGGACAAGGCAGTGGTTGAGTCCACCTGCTTTACTCTGTCCCCCACATTCCAGACAGGGATGGGGCAAAGCCTGGGAAGCCCTTGGCCCCGCCAAATCTGGGCGAGCTGACAGTGACTGACATGGCCTCCAACTCCCTGCTCCTGCAATGGACGGTCCCTGAGGGCGAGTTTGACTCCTTCGTGATCCAGTACAAGGACAGGGACGGGCCCCAGGCTGTCCGTGTGGAGGGGTCCCAACGCTCAACCCTCATCACCAACCTGGACCTTGGCCGCAAGTACAAATTCGTGCTATATGGGCTCGTGGGCAAGAAGAGGCATGGCCCCCTGGTGGCTGAAGCCAAGATCTGTGAGTGAGAACCCTCACCCACACTCCTACCCCTGCCCCCTGCATGGTCTTGTAGGAGGTCTTCCCAGTGCTTTGGGAACTCCAGGAAGGCTTCCTGGAGGAAGTGGGGCCTGACATGAATCCCGAATGGAATATAGTGGCGGGTCAGGCAGAGAGGTTGAGGAGGGCAGTGCAGACAGAGGGAGCCATGGAGAGTGAGGCGGCAGTGAGTGTGATCCTCTGGATGGAGAACAGGGCACCTGGAGAGCTGAAAGGACTGGCCTTGTGTTTCTGACCGAGGAGCTTGGTGGTCATTTGTGGGCTCCAGGGTGCCTCTGAAGGGTTTTAAAGGAGAGTGACATGATTCCATGCTTATCTTACAAATAACACTGAGGCCGCTGCAGAGAATAGCTGGAGAAGTGAATTAAGAGCCAGCAGGAAATGATGCTGGCCTGGCTGGAATGGTGGGAGTGAGGCTGGATGTAGGAGGTGAAGGACAATGAGGAGGCCCAGGCACTCCATGGTCTAGTTCAGACAGTCCCATTCCCTGAGGCAAGGAACAGCGGAGGTGAGGAACAGCACAGCGTGAGCATTTAACTCTCAAATGTGTTTAAGATGTTCTAAAGGCATCGTCGCTCTTATTGCCTCTAACAGCCCTGTGAGGCATGCCCATTTATAGATGAGGAGAGGCACTGAGAGAGAGGGCACTCAAGCAGAAAGTGGTGGGGCTGTGGGGTTATCACTGCTGCCCTCACGGATCTGGAAAGCAGAGAGAAGGCCTGAAGAGGGAGCATGCGTGTCCTCAGTGCCAACGGGCAGGAGTCAGAGTGAGGTAGAGTGGCAGCTGGAACCCTGGAGACGGACTCAGCACTCGGGGCCTGAGCCCAGGTAGAGGAGCATGCAGGGAGCCCAAGGAGGTGATCTGGGGAGAGGGGCACAGCCAGGGAGAGTGGTGTCCTGGATGCCAAAATGAAGGGCGTGGTCAGACATGTCAGATTCCATAAGAGTGAATCAGGGCTACAGAGCATCCACAGGACTTAGCAGTGGCGAGGCCACCACTGACCCTGGTGAGAGCTGCCAGTGGAGGGTGGAGCCAGATTGAGAGGGGGATGGAGGTGAGGACATGGCTACAACCAGGATAGACGTCTCTTTCTGGAATCTGGGTAAGGAATAGAGCAAGGAGGGAGGCTGGAGGCTGGAGTGAGCTAGCAGCTGAGAAGAGGAGCTCCTATAAATGCTGAGGGCACAGTGGCAGGGAGTGAAGGGTTGGTGGTACGGGGTGGGAAAGGAGGAGGTAGGGCCGGAGCACGGGCGTGGGAGGCTATCCCACATTAAAACACTCCAAAGACTGCATTTCCCTGTCTTGGAGGAGAGAGCAGCCAGTAGTTAGGGCTGGAAGCAGCAGAGATTGTCCTGGAAGGCTTCCTTGGCTACAGAGACACAGAAAGGGATGACTGGGCTCCCTTCTCTCTGAAGTCTCTCACTAGGCTGTGGAGAGTCAGGGCCGTGCTAGTCTATAAGGTGCTTTTGTGCCATTTAGAAGAAGGCATCCCTTCTTCCTTCATCCCTAGGTGAGCGTAGCCCCATGCCAGGGCACACAGCTTGGCAAGGAGAGGCTGGCTGGATTTTAGTCTCTTGGCCCTCTCTCAGTCATGTACCTTTGTGCAGTGAACAGCCTGTACAACCTCACCCAACATCCCTATGTGGGAGATGGATCCCCCTTCTCCTTTGACCTCTGTTCCTCCTTCTTCTCTCTACCCCTCCTCCCAGTGCCTCAGAGTGACCCCAGCCCAGTGACTCCACCTCGCCTGGGAAAGCTGTGGGTGACAGATCCCACCCGAGACTCACTGCGCCTCTCCTGGACCGTCCCTGAGGGCCAGTTTGACTCCTTCATAGTCCAATACAGGGACCGGAATGGACAGCCCCAGGTGGTGCCCGTGGAAGGGCCTGAGCGCTCGGTCATTGTCTCCTCCCTGGACCCTGACCACAAGTACAGATTCACTCTGTTTGGGATTGCCAACAAGAAGCGACATGGCCACCTCACAGCTGATGGCACCACAGGTGAGGGGCAACTACCTAAGCTCCCACATGACCCCTCCCAGCCTTCCACACACTTGTCCTCAGCCAGGGACTAGCTGGGGCCTCCCAGTGAGATGGCCGACTCTGAATCCTGGCCCCGCTCCCAGGCTGAGGGCTAGCCAGCCTCCCCCATACTGCTGGGTCCCTTCCATCCCATTCAGTTGCTTCCCAAGGCCCAGAAGATGTATCATACCCTGGCTCTGCCAGACTTCCCAGGAGTTCAGCACCCATGCTGATTGATTAGTGATCCATCCGCCAGGTATGACTGTCCGTCCAAACCCCAAACCCTAATCTGGGGCTGCCACTGTAGCCCTCAGTGGATCCTCTTATTTACAGCCTCAGAGAAGACAGAGGAGCTCCTCCACCCAGAGTCCCCAGAGCAGCCCCTGCTGGGGGAACTGATGGTGACTCATGCGACCCCAGACTCCCTGCGCCTGTCCTGGACAGTGACCCAGGGCTCCTTCGATTCCTTCATGGTCCAGTACAAGGATGCCCAGGGGCAGTCCCAGGCAGTGCCCGTGAGGGGTGATGAGAACAAGGTCACCGTCTCTGGCCTGGAGTCCCACCGGAAATATAAGATGAACCTCTATGGGCTTCATGGCAGGCAGCGTGTGGGACCTATGTCTGTGGTGGCCACCACAGGTGAGTCAGGGCCACACAGGCCTCCCTCCACTCCAGCGCCCAGTCCTCTGAGCAGGACCTGGCCCTGGGACTCCTTCGTATTTCTCTCCACCTTCTCTTTCTGGGCTCCAGTTCTGCCGAGCCTCTACGCTCGACTTCCCCACATCCCAGGACTTCTCACCCAGCCAGCAGCCTCTGACCTTCTCCTCAGCCCCGCTTCTCCATCTCCTAGAACAGCCCTCATTTTTACCATTCTGAATGCCTGGAGCCATCCCTCCATCCCAGGCTGTCCTCCCCACAGATATCCTCAGCCACTGTGTTCTTTCTCCTACAGTGGCCTGGCTTGGGTTGCTGTCATTTCTGAGCTTCTGTCATCAGCTCCCTGCACCCTCCCACTGTTGCTTGCCCTGCCCAGAGCTGGCAGATCTCAGGGACAAGAGTCTCATGTTTCCCCAGCTTCTTCCCGGCATGAAAAGGTCTCATCCCACGTCCCCTGATTCCCAGCCACCTTGGAGCAGGGCAGAGGGCTCCCTCTCAGCCCCCCTGCTTCCCCTCATTCCCCCACCTGTCCAGCCACCCCCTGGTCAGCACCATTTCTGTGGTTATAGAGCGTCATGGGTTGGAGCATTGGCTCTGGATCCGACTGCCTGGATTTTAATCCTGGCTCTACAGTTGATTACCTAAGGGACCTTGTGTAAATTACTAAATCTCTTTGTACCTCAGAAATCATCTGTCAAATGAGGATAGTATAAGTCACTACTGCTTCACAGAGTCATTAGAATTAAATCAGTTAACATACAAACATACAAACTTAGAACAGTGCCTAGCACATCAAAACTTATAAGAATGAGCTGCTAGGAGGGGCGCCTGAGTGGCTCAGTCGGTTAAGTGTCCAGCTTCGGCTCAGGTCATGATCTCACGGTCTGTGGGTTCGAGCCCCGCATCAGGCTTTGTGCTGATAGCTCAGAGCCTGGATCTTGCTTTGGATTCTGTGTGTCTCTCTCTCTGCCCCTCCCCCACTCACACTCTGTCTATCAAAAATAAATAAGCATAAAAAAAGAAGAAGAAGAAGAAGAAGAAGAAGAAGAAGAAGCAGCAGCAGCAGCAGCAGCAGCAGCAGCAGCTATTAAGGGCACCTGGGTGGCTCAGTTGGTTAGACATCTGATTTCAGCTCAGGTCATGATCTCATAGTCCATGGGTTCGAGCCCTGCGACAGGCTCTGCTGTTAGCACGGAGCCCACTTTATTTATTTATTTATTTATTTATTTATTTATTTATTTAATTTTATTTTTTCAGTGTTTTTAAAAAAAGTTTTGAGACAGAGAGAGGCAGAGCATGAGTGGGGGACGGGCAGAGAGAGAGAGGGAGACACAGAATCTAAAGCAGGCTCCAGGCTCTGAGCTGTCAGCACAGAACCCGATGTGGGGCTTGAACTCACAAACCTGCGAGATCATGACCTGAGCTGAAGTCAGACACTTAATAGACTCAGCCACCCAGGCACCGGGAGCAGACCCCACTTTAGATCCTTTGTCCCCCTCTCTCTCTGCCCCTCCCCTGCTTGTGCGCACACACACACTCTCTCTCTCAAAATAAATAAATATTTAAAAATTTTTTAAAAACATGGAGCTGCTATTTCTCCTTGATTCTCTCCCTTCCCAGTGTCCTTTTGTTTCTCCTTTTTCTCTCTACTTTGCCCATTGTTGCCTGCTCCCTCCTCAATCTCCTGTCCCCCGAGTAATACCCTATGGACCAGGGAGTGGGTTACAGAAGCCAGTCTCCCCTCTCCATAGAGCCTCAGCAAAGACCTAGTTGCCAGACAGTGGATAGATGCCCTCAGTGCTGTGATTCTAGACCCAGCTAGGGAAGAGCCCGGCCCTCTCTAGCCCTCTCCCCCAAACCTTTCTTCCACCCTTGACTGAAGTAGAAGGAGGGACGGGACCGTCCAGGGAGGCCTCAGACAGGGCACATTCTTTCTGGTGTCCTGGTCAGTGGGGTGGGGGCAGCTGGAAAGCCCTGGGGAGGTGCTGGACCTGAAAGGGAAGAAGGCAGATGGGAAGAGGCCTTACTGCCCCCTCGATTTCAGCATTGTCAGAGGACATGGGAGAAAATTCCTCAGAGTTTCCTCTCTTCCCATCTCAGCTCTTTTTTCAGGCGTAAGGGGGACCCCCCACCCCCACAGAATCCACCAGTACAGTTCCTACCAGCAGTACCTACCGGGGTCAGGGGCCTATCTCAGCTCTCTCCAGTGAGTTATTGAATGGCTAATACAAACGCTACCTGAACCCCAAAGCCTATGGCTTGATGGCTTTATTTGCTAGATATACTTTGTTGTCATAATTAACCAACAAAGCAAGTCATGCCATAAGCTTGTACCCTCATCTCTTCTCTCAGCCCCCCAGGAGGTTGTGGAGGAGACACCCAGCCCCACAGAGCCTGGCATGGAGGCCACAGAGACCCCTGAGGAGCCCCTGCTGGGGGAGCTGACAGTCACAGGATCCTCCCCAGACTCGCTGAGCCTCTCGTGGACCGTCCCCCAGGGCCACTTCGACTCCTTCACTGTCCAGTACAAGGACAGGGACGGACGACCCCAGGTGGTGCGTGTCAGGGGTGAAGAGGGTGAGGTCACCATCGGGGGCCTGGAGCCGGGACACAAGTACAAGATGCACCTGTATGGCCTGCACAGGGGGCAGCGCTGGGGCCCTGTGTCCACTGTGGGTGTGACCGGTGAGTGAGAGCTGGGGCCTGCTTCCTTTTCCTCCCACCAGTGGCCCCCAGCCTTCCTGTGGCCATTGCTCTCCCTTGCTGCAGTGGTAGCATCACACCCCTCTGCCCCCTCCAGCTCCACCCCCTGCCACGGGGTGTGGGGGGAGGACCTCAAAAGAGCAATTAACCAGGGACTGGGCTAGAACCAGCTTTGTGACCTTTAGCAGTTTTAAACTTCCTGTGCCTGTTTCCTCATGTGTAAAATGAGGACAGTAACAGCCACCCTGCAGCCAGAAAGATGGATCATAATTATCCTGAGTCTGGGATCTGCTCTGTCCTCTTTGGCTGGTTCAGCTGCTTCGATGGTCAGATGTGCATGAGACATTGGGCCTCTCCATCAGTAGCTGGAAACTTTCTTTACCACTCATCCAGTGATTGGCTTTGGAGCAAAGAGGGCCATTCCTTGCACACCCTGTCTTGGGCCCCGGTATGGGACCACCTGGGCACCACTGAGGACCCAGCCTGGGGAATTTCTCTCCAGAGCCTCACCGCCGGGGCCCAGAACCAGGGCAGACCTCTGGGACTTGCACTTCTCCTGCTGACTTGCCCAGCCTGGTCACAGAAAGGGGCCTCTCTTTTCCCTTTGCTCACTGAAACAGACACACCTTTTTCAAAGGAAAACACACCTTTTTCAAGTTTTACTATAAGGAGAAAGATGAAACACTTAAAAGCAGAGAAACAAGTTTTCAGAGCATGGTTTCTGTACTCCCACGAAGCACAACCTCACAGTGACTTGGGTGGCTTCTACTCCTAATTTCTTTCTGTTCTTCAGTTAGCCCTAAGAGTAGGGAGAGGGGAAAGCCACCTGGAGTCCCTGTCCTTCGGGCTTGAAGTGGCAAGGTGGAGGCTTGTGCCAAGCCCAGAACGTGTTGCCGAGGTTTCTTTTAGGGTGACGCTCACAGGTCTCTGTGAGTCCCTGTCCCTGGTCCCTGGTAAGGATGGGCTGTTTTGGGCACTAACTGAGGCAGTGCAGTAAAGGAAAATTGAGTTTGGGAATTTGACAAATCGAGTTCTATTTATGACTTCCCTGGTTTGTGATCAAACATGATGTCCATTATCAAAGCAGGAAAGTGATGGGTAGCTGGAGCCTGCTGAGCTGACCAAAGGGCTGTGCCTGGCATATAGCACATGTTGTACCACTCCCAGGAAAAAATATGTATACTGCCTGTTAGAAACATTTCTAGGGGCACCTGAGTGGCTCAGTCCGTTAAGCATCAGATTCTTGATCTCAGCTCAGGTCTTGATCTCAGGGTTGTGAATTTAAGCCCCACATTGGGCTCCATGCTGGGCATGAAACCTACTGAAAGAAGGAAAAGAGGGAGGGAAGGAAGGAAGGAAGGAAGACAAGAAAGAAAAAGAAAGAGAGAAAGAGAGAAAGAGAGAAGGAGAGAAGGAGAGAAAGAGAGAAAGAGAGAAAGAAAGAAAGAAAGAGAGAGAGAGAGAGAGAAAGAAAAGAAAAGAAAGAAAGAAAGAAAGAAAGAAAGAAAGAAAGAAAGAAAGAAAGAAAGAAGAATTGATGGAGGAAGGAAAAAAGGAGAAGGAAGGAAGGAAGGAAGGAAAGAAAGAAAGAAAAAGGAAAGAAAGAAAGAAAGAAAGAAAGAAAGAGAGAAGGAGAGAAGGAGAGAAGGAGAGAGAGAAAGAGAGAAAGAAGGAAAGAAAGAAAGAAAGAAAGAAAGAAAGAAAGAAAGAAAGAAAGAAAGAAAGAAAGAAGGAAGGAAAGAAGGAAAGAAAGAAGAATTGAGGGAGGAAGGAAAAAAGGAGAAGGAAGGAAGGAAGGAAGGAAGGAAGAAAGAGAAAAAGAAAGAAAGAAAGAAAGAAAAGAAACATTTCTAAATTAGAAAACGATTATGTCAAATGCAACATGGAACTGCCATGTCCATGGGTAGTTATAATTCTACCTTCTCCAGGTAAGCCAAGCCACAACAAGAAGGCTTATTTGATGGTGAGGGACTGTTTCTCTCCTTATGGAAAGACCAGGCAATGGGTGCTATAGGAACCAGCAGAGCTAGAAGGAACATGAAATACAATACAATACCAGCCCTCATACCTGGTACGAGGTGCAGCCGCTCCCACCTTCAGCTGCCTTCAGCCCTGCCCTTCCCGCTCAGACTCATTTTTGTCTTTCCGGGGCCTCACCAACAGCCCATTTTTAGAGCAGGTTTTATCTGTCTGGAGCCTAGTCTTATCCTCCTGCAGACGCCAGAGAAAACAGCTCTTAGGAACCACTCCCGGGAACCTCCTCCACTGTTTTACTTCTTGGGACCACCTTCCACGGTTGGTCACTATTGAGGAATGCCGCCCACGCTCAGCTGATTCTGAGGCAGTGGGGACCAAGAGGTTCTGAGCTTGGCCTTTCCCAGCAGAGTCGTGCAGACCACTCAGTAATTTAACAGACATTTGTGGAGCACCCTCAGTGTGCCGGGTGCTGGGGACACAGCCGTGAGCAAGGCAAAGCCCCTGCCCGTGGAGCTCGCATTCTAAGCAGAGGGAAACAGACACCAAACTGCACAAATATGTCAGTGCTACCGAACGTGACAGTGATTAGCCCTGGAGAGAAAAGCAAAGTCCAGCAGGTGAGATGGTGAATGGGTGGGAAGGAGGTAGGAAATGGCCTCTCTGAGGGCAGACCTGAAAGAGGGAGAGGGCAAGGCACATGGGCCTTTGGGAAGAAGATCCAGGGCACAGGGAAAGTGCCCTGATCATCTGTGGACAATCCAGGAATGTCTGGGATAGAGAGAGGGGAATATGTGAGAGATAGTTAATCACGTGGGACCTCAGAGGCCATTGTAAGGACTTGGCTTTTGCCCTGAGTGAGATGGAAGTCATTTTGGAAACAGGCCCTGACTAACAGCGATCAGAGACAGGGTGAGGGTGGAGGAGGGAGATGATTTAGGAGACTCGGATAGTCCAGTAAGAGCCGGTGGTGCTGGGAGATGGTGGCAGGAATGGAGTTAGTGAGGGGGCGTCAGCTGCTGAAGGGGGTGACAACAGAACTTCCTCATAGGCTAGATGTGGGGGGTGTGAGAGGCCTCGGACGATGCCCACAATGAAGCTGTGGCTTTGCCAAGGTGGGGATGCTGTGGACTGAGCAGGTGTGGGGGGACTCTGTGAGCCTGGTTTTGGACTGAATGAGTTTGAGACACAGACCAGGCACCCAACAAAGATGCCAGGCAAACACGAGTCTGCAGGTCTCGGGGGAAGGGCCTTGGAGCCATTGACACAGGGGGAAGTTCACCACTTTCCAAGTCTCAGTGACGGTGCACACCCCTCCCCATACCCAGCACAGCCCCAGATCCTGGCAGGGACTGAGTGAGGGGCTGGGGCCAGACAGATGTGACCAAATTAGTGTAGTTTTACATCAGAGCCACCTTGTGAGCACCACACAAACAACAGACCTAACTACTAACAAGGGAAAGAAGGACTTTTCCTCACTGCTTCCCTCTGTCTCTGTGTCAGCTCCACAACTGGAAGAGACTCCAGCCACAGAGCCCCCCTTGGAGCCGCACCTGGGAGAGCTGACAGTGACAGATGTGACTCCCAACTCGGTGGGCCTCGCATGGACAGTCCCAGAGGGCCAGTTTGACTCCTTCGTGGTCCAGTACAAGGACAGGGACGGGCAGCCCCAGGTGGTGCCTGTGGCCACAGACCAGCGTGAGGTCACCATCCCCGGCCTGGACCCTGCACGTAAATACAAGATGAACTTCTATGGGCTACATGGTGGCCAGCGTGTGGGTCCCCTCTCTGTGGTAGCTGTGACTGGTGAGTGAGCAGGGGTGAGGCAGTTCCCATCCCTGGTTACACAGAATCCCCCCGCCCCACAACCCTCCCTGAGATCCTGCCTCAGTGGCCTCCATAGGTCCTTCCTGAGGTCATATAGACACCTTAGTCTGATCCCTGAACCCTTGGCTTCTTCCCCAGGCTAGAACCTTCCTGCCCTCCCAGTCCTCATCTCCATTCTGCCCTTTCCCCCAGCAGGAATGTCTAGCTTCCATATGGTCTAAATCCAGTTGCAGACTGTTTGTCTCCCCGATTGTCCACAGCTGTTCCCTTCCTTTCTCTTCACAACCCTGCTGTGACCTGGACACAGCTTCCACCTTCCCCTGATGCCCTTTTTTTAGTTGAGCTTAAATGGCACACATTCCTTGAATCTCTTCTCAGAGGCCCTTAGCACCCTGGGTGCCCTTGTTCTTGGCTTCCTGGGCACAGGTTGCCACCATTTTTCTGCCATGGTGTCTGGTGAAACCCATGGACCCCTCTCAGAGCAGTGTTTTATTATTATTATTTTAATTAAGTTTATTTTTTAAAGTTTATTTATTTGAGAGAAACAGAGAGAGTGACCGGGTATGGGGGAGACAGAAAGGGGGACAGAGGATCCAAAGCAGGCTCCATGTAGACTGCAGAGAGCCCAAAGTGAGGCTCAAACCTGTGATTTCAAGATCATGACCTGAGCTGAAGTCAGACTCCCAACTGACTGAGCTACCCAGGTGCCACTCAAAACTTTAAAGTCTATAAAATAAATGCATAGGATTACAGAAGAAGCCATCAAAATATTTTAAATTCAAATTTATGATTTAGTAACACAGAAACTTATTTATTCATTCGTTAAATAATAAGACTTAGGGGAATGTATAATAATGTACCCATGTTTAGAAGTAGTTGGTGATGAGTGTAAACGATATTTTGAAGTTTCTGTAGTAATTCTAAGGTGATGGGAAAACGTCCATGGATTCCTAATAGTGACAAAGCCACAAGTACTGCTGGTCCCACAGTGGTTGGTCACCTGTATTCATCAGTGAAGGAAATGCTACATTTCAGTTAGAGGTCAAGGAATATATGGGTGTAACTGTTTCTTATCTTAGTTTAAGGCTCCCTTGAGGCCCTGGGAGCCCAGAAGTTCAAGGAGGAAGTTCTCTTGGCCAAGACCTCAGCCATGTTCTTTGTTTTCCTGGATCCTAGCTCCCCATCCCCCAGCCCTAGCCACCGAGTCCCCCCAGGAGCCACGCCTAGGGGAGCTGACAGTGACAGACCTGACCCCGGACTCTGCGAGCCTCTCGTGGACCGTCCTCGAGGGTGAATTTGACTCCTTCGTGGTCCAGTACAAGGACAGGGATGGGCAGCCCCGGGTGGTGCCTGTGGCCGCAGACCAGCGTGAGGTCACCATCCCCGGCCTGGAGCCCAGTAGGAAATACAAGTTCCTGCTCTTTGGGATTCAGGATGGCAAAAGACGCAGCCCAGTCTCTGTGGAGGCAAAGACAGGTGAGAGTCCCCCAAACCCCCAGTAGCCTCCCCACCCTTCTTCCCACTGCCTGATCTTTTTCCTTCTGCTGGTCTTCCCTTTGTCCCTCTCTTTTGATTCATCTGAAAAGCCATACTGCCTGCCCCAGTTCAAGGAAAACAAGTCCATTCCGGGTCTGCTCTGCCAGTTGATTTTTTCTCTCCTCTCATAATTCCACTTCTGTTGAATGGGAGAAGCCCCTTCAGGACCCTTCCTGGAAGGTGGGACAGACTAGGAGTACTGGGGGAGGGGTGAAGGGAGCCAGGAGCCCTTTCTGCCTGCCTGGGCTTTGCAGCTGTCAGTTTGTAGCCATCACCTCCTGAGAGTTTTGCTGTTACCCAGTTTCTTAGCCCACTGACTTACGCCCATCGTGTCCCTATCTGCTGCCTCTAGAGGACTGTTTTCCTCCTGTGCCCTCTTCCTGGAGCCTCGGAAACTGGGAACCAGAGGAGCCCAGGGCTGGCTGCCTGGCTAGTCTCAGTCCATTCCAGCCCAGCTGTGCCCCTTTCCTGGGTTTCAGTCCAGGCCCTCCCCTACCCTTGGGGGCTCCCTGATGCCAGAAAACTCTAGCAATAACAATGCTGTCAGCGTCCTCCCTGGCCAACAAGGCAGTGGGCCAGCTCCTTCTCAGGCCTCAGATTGGCTTGGGGACAGACACTAGATCCTTTCTCCATGTGAGCTCCCCTTCTTCTCCCACCCCACCAAGTAGGCAGCCCCCACTCCTCTCCCAGGTCCTGTGAGGGCCACCTCTATCATAACATCCTGCTTTCCCACCTGCTGTGTGCACTCACTGGGGATCCTGTGCCCCTCTGATGTCCCCAGGACCCTCAGATTTCCCCAGGGACCAGTCAGATCACAAAGGGTAGGCTTCTTGGTGAAAGAAAATAAGTAAATCAAGCTGCAGCCTGCTAGGAAAATAGTCTTTAATAGGTGGGAAGAGTCTGGAAAGTCAGAGGAATAAGACAAGCAGGAAGCTAGGGATTCTTTTTTCCCAGAGATGTCACACTGGCTAAGTGGAGGGAGGCATGGGCCAGTTGGGGATGGTGGCGGAGATGGGAGGGTGATGGAAATATTTTGGGGAAGCACTGATCATTTGGGCCATCCTGGATTTTTCCAGCTCTAGCGTGAAGTAGTCAAAGAGTCATTCTGGAAAAAAATAAACATAAGAATCTTTCCTCTCTTTCAGCTGCCCAAGGTGACGCCAGCCTTGGGGCCCCACCCCGCCTTGGGGAGCTGTGGGTGACAGATCCCACCCTGGAATCTCTGCGCCTCTCCTGGACAGTCCCCGAGGGCCACTTTGACTCCTTTGTGGTCCAGTTCAAGGACAGGGATGGGCCCCGAGTGGTGCCCGTGGAGGGCCACGAGCGCTCAGTCACCATCACCCCTCTGGACACTGGCCGCAAGTACAGATTCCTCCTTTATGGGCTCCTGGGCAAGAGGCGCCACGGCCCCCTCACTGCCGAAGGCACCACAGGTGAGAACATCCCCTGCAGGTCCAGGCTCTGCTCCTGGGACTCCCCCAGGGAAGACATCAGCACCCTGCCAAGCCAGGGAAGCAGGTGACCACCTGTGGCGGCTGCTATCACAGCTGTTATTCTCCTTGCACAGTCCCATAGCACTGGCCCTACAGGACTCAGCCGTGGCCAAGCCCTATCTGCAGACCTCTCAGTTCTGCCATTGGAGGTCACCCAGGCTACCAGAAACAGCGCAGCTCTTTCCTTTCTGTCTCCATCTCAGAGATCCGGAGTGCTGTGGATGATGCTAAAGCAAAGCATCCCCCAAAGCCCCATCTTGGGGAGGAGCTACAGGTGACCAGAGTGAATCCAGACTCTGTGAGCCTCTCGTGGACAGTCCCTGAGGGCCAGTTCGACTCCTTTGTGGTCCAGTACAAGGACAGGGACGGGCAGCCACAGGTGGTGCCTGTGGAAGGCAGCCTCAGGGAGGTCAGCATCCCGGGCCTGGACCCAGCCCGCAGGTATAAGCTGCTGCTGTATGGGCTGCACCAGGGCAAGCGTGTGGGTCCCATCTGGGCCATCGCCGTGACTGGTGAGTAGGCCGTCCCTCCTTCTGGCGTCAGCTCCCCTGGCCTGACCAAGCCCGGGGATTTCTGAGCTTCCTATTTCCCTTCTTTTAGGTAAAAGGATCAGATTTATCGAGTCATAATTTACATACAATTTTATGTGAACAATGCATGTTGGTAAATTTCTAAGTCATAAAACCATTGCCACAACTGAGATATAAAACATTTCCATTGACCTAGGAAACACATTACGTCACGCCCCTTTGCAATCAGTTCTCCCAAACCCAGCCTCTGGCAGCCACTAATTGTTTTCTCTCCTTATACTTTTGCCTTCATAAGCATCTCTTTTAACAGAATCACACAATGCATATGCTGTGCTTGGTTTCTAACACAGCATAATCCTTTGGAAATTCACCCCTCTGTATCACAGAGTCACCAGTCACCCATCTCTCCCTGTTTCTCTGAACCAGCCTCCAGAGAAGATATCGAAACTGAGACCCCAGGTCCTCCAGGGCCTGAGCCCCGCCTAGGGGAGGTGACTGTGGAGGAAGCCAGGCCAGACACCTTGCATCTCTCCTGGTCAGTAATGGACGGAGATTTTGACTCCTTTGAAGTCCAGTACACAGACGAAGATGGACAATTCCAGGTAGTCAAGTTAGATGGTGACCGAAATGACATCATCCTCACTGGCCTGGAATCTGACCACAGATACCTGGTGACCCTGTATGGTCTCCATGGCAGGCAACGTGTGGGTCCTGCCCACATTGAGGCCTTGACAGGTGAGCAAGGAGAACTCTGCTACCCTCCAAATGGCCATGAAGCCCAGAGGACAGCAAAGTACCCCATGGTCATCCTGCCCATCTCTAAGGTCCTTCTCTCTCTCTCTTTCTCCTGTCTATGTTCAGCCCGAAAGGAAGACGAGGATGAACCTTCAGAACCTCCCATCAAGCCGCGCCTGGGGCAGCTGGCAGTGACAGACGCCACCACCGACTCCCTGCACCTCTCCTGGACTGTCCCCGAGGGCCAGTTTGACCACTTCCTGGTCCAGTACAAGAACGGGGATGGGCAGCCCAAGGCGGTGAGGGTGCCAGGGAATGAGGACCAGGTCACCATCTCAGGCCTGGAACCCGACCACAAGTACAAGATGAACCTGTATGGCTTCCACGGTGGCCAGCGTGTGGGCCCTGTCTCTGCCTTTGGGGTGACGGGTGAGTGGATGGTGGAAGCCCCGGGGTGGGGCCAGCTGGGGGATCACCTCTCTCAGGTGATGGATGAATGGGGTGCAGGAGGTCCCTTAGCTAGAGGTTGAGCCATGGTGTCCTTTGTGCCTCCCCCTGGGACTCCCTGGGGACCAAAGGGTCCTCCTGGGCAGAGAAGGGGCCCCATGAGCTGTGCTGGTGGCTGTTCAGGGATCCCCACAGCTGGTCCTGGAGCCTCCCCAGCATGTTTGTGAGAGGTCAGCTGAGCAAGTCCACCCAGCCCCAAGGGTGGGTTTCTCTGAACTGAATTTGGGGCCCTCAGACATGGTCACAGTGCTCCATTCTTCTCCTAAGATCTGAGAACATCGGAGGGTCCTGCATCACCCTCTCTGTGTCTCTCTTTCTCAGCTGCAGAGGAAGAGACCCCAGCCCCCACCGAGGTGGAGGAGACCCCCAGCCCCACAGAGCCCGGCACGGAGGCCCCAGAGACCCCCGAGGAGCCCCTGCTGGGGGAGTTGACAGTCACAGGATCCTCCCCAGACTCGCTGAGCCTCTCGTGGACCGTCCCCCAGGGCCACTTTGACTCCTTCACTGTCCAGTACAAGGACAGGGAAGGGCGGCCCCAGGTGGTGCGTGTCAGGGGTGAGGAGAGTGAGGTCACCGTCGGGGGCCTGGAGCCGGGGCGCAAGTACAAGATGCACCTGTATGGCCTGCACAGGGGGCAGCGCTGGGGCCCCGTGTCCACCGTGGGCGTGACCGGTGAGTGAGAGCGACAGTGCGACTGGTGGGAAAGAAGGCCCTCCAAGCGAGGACCACACTTTGAGTAGCAAAACTCCTCACAACAAAGGAATTGGATGCTCTCCTAGAATTTGTTGGACAGAATTGCACTTGCATCCCTGATCCCTCCCAGAGGCTCAGCCTCTCTAGAGTTCACCGGAGGCTGTGGGGGGGAAGACAGAGGGTGCTCAGGATGCAGCATCCTGACCAAGACACCTCTGGCCTCATGGTTGGGGTATTACCAGACTTAGGATTCCCATGGGTCAATGAGATTGGGTGCCCTGAGCCAGGCACTGTGGGAGTTCACTAGGGGAAACCTGACCATGGCAGAGAGACAAGTTCTTATCATAATGGGGCTTCCAAGCACAGGGAGACAGGCTGTGAGCCAGCAGCCAGGCAACAGGGATGTATGTATGACAGGAAGCCCCAGGGCCAGGCCAGACTGGGCAGCTCGCCTAAGCTGGCCTGCCCACGGGTGTCCATGGGACAGCTGAGAACCGAGGTTGGGCAGGCATTAGCTTGGTGACAGTGTTAGAGTCAGATCCATGTCACAGCTGGTGCCAAGGCCTAGAAACTAGGAACATCATGGCCGATGAGAGGGACCGAGAGGATTTTTGTGTGAGATCCTGAGTTGGGGAGAGTCTTGAGATGGAGGAGAGTGGTAGCGGCAGCTCAGAAGCCAGGAATTTCTCCCGGGGATAGAGAGGTTTGTTGCACAGTTAGCTAAGGCTGACACCATCAGAGGCGCACTGAAAGGCTCATCCTGGTCCCCTGTGATGGAACAGATGGGACGGGGAGCAGGAAACCCAGTAGGGACGTGGTGACTCAAGTGCGAAGCAATGGCATTGGGGGGCTGGGTAAGGCAAGCCAGGCTGGTGGGATGCAGGTGTGAGGAGTGAGGAGACCAGGAGGAACTTAGGAGTGAGTTGCACACTCTTGAGTCTGATGGCAGCTGGGGACAGGAACACATCTAGGAAGATTCCAGGCTTCCAGTTGGGGGAAGGGGCTCTGAGCTGTTTGGGAGCAAAGACATGAGCCAAAGGGAGTGAGACGTCAAGGAGACGCCCCCATGGAGGGAGGCCCAGGGCACAGTGTGCAGGGGAGGTGGGTGCTGGAGAAAGTGGGAGAGGTGGCGGGCTGTGGGTAGGGGTGGGTGAGGGCAAGGTGAGATGAGGGTAAGGGGTCAATAAGGCCAACATTAAGGGACTGGGAAGAGTAGATGAGTTAGAGCCACTGTGGCCGGCAACGCTGTGTTCCTCATGTTTGTCATACACCCACTTATACGCTGACCTGCCTGCCCATCCTCACCTGTCCCTGTGTGTCTCTGTGCAGCTCCAGAATATGAAGCTATGACCACCCAAGCCCTGTCCACCATGGCACCTGAGCCTCCCATCAAGCCGCGCCTGGGGCAGCTGGCAGTGACAGACGCCACCCCTGACTCCCTGCACCTCTCCTGGACTGTCCCCGAGGGCCAGTTTGACCACTTCCTGGTCCAGTACAAGAACGGGGATGGGCAGCCCAAGGCGGTGAGGGTGCCAGGGAATGAGGACCAGGTCACCATTTCAGGCCTGGAACCTGACCACAAGTACAAGATGAACCTGTATGGCTTCCACGGTGGCCAGCGTGTGGGCCCTGTCTCTGCCTTTGGGGTGACGGGTGAGTGGATGGTGGAAGCCCCAGGGTGGGGCCAGCCGGGGATCACCTCTCTCAGGTGATGGGTTGAGTGGTCCCTTACCACTTACCCTTACCAGGAGGTCCCTTAGCTGGAGGCTGAGCCATGGTGGCCTTTGTGCCTCCTCTGGGACTCCCTGGGGACCAAGGGGTCCTCCTGGGCAGAGAAGGGGCCCCATGAGCTGTGCTGGTGGCTGTCCAGGGTTCCCCACAGCTGGTCCTGGAGCCTCCCCAGCATGTTTGTGAGAGGTCAGCTGAGCAAGTCCACCCAGCCCCAAGGGTGGGTTTCTCTGAACTGAATTTGGGGCCCTCAGACATGGTCACAGTGCTCCATTCTTCTCCTAAGATCTGAGAACATCGGAGGGTCCTGCATCACCCTCTCTGTGTCTCTCTTTCTCAGCTGCAGAGGAAGAGACCCCAGCCCCCACCGAGGTGGAGGAGACCCCCAGCCCCACAGAGCCCGGCACGGAGGCCCCAGAGACCCCCGAGGAGCCCCTGCTGGGGGAGTTGACAGTCACAGGATCCTCCCCAGACTCGCTGAGCCTCTCGTGGACCGTCCCCCAGGGCCACTTCGACTCCTTCACTGTCCAGTACAAGGACAGGGAAGGGCGGCCCCAGGTGGTGCGTGTCAGGGGTGAGGAGAGTGAGGTCACCGTCGGGGGCCTGGAGCCGGGGCGCAAGTACAAGATGCACCTGTATGGCCTGCACAGGGGGCAGCGCTGGGGCCCCGTGTCCACTGTGGGCGTGACCGGTGAGTGAGGGTTAAAGGGCCTCCAGGGTTGGGTCTGGTAATGTTCTGTTGGTAGGGAATCCAGGGTGTCCTACACTGGAGAACCAGAATCCTTAAACCCCACCTAACACACCCTTCGTCTAGTAACATCTCAGGAAAGTGAAGTGGTGTCTGGAAGCACGAGTGCCTGAGGCCTGGTGTGGAAGCCTTTGAGGTAGTGATAGACTGACCTATTTGTGGCTGTGCTCTGCGAGGGAACTCTGGAAAGATCTTTTTCTTGTGTGTGGTTGAAACAAATGCCATGAAGTATTCATTCATTCTTTCAGCAAATATTTATTATACATGATTCTAGCTTACACACAGATAAAGAAGAGCATAATGAAATCTTATGTGTCCACTGCCTTCCTAATATTACCTCCTGGCCAGCCTGTCTCAATTTGCTCACTTTCTGCCCTCCTCCCACCAGAATATGTTCTTTATTAGCAGTTTAATTGAGATATAATTTACATGCCATAAAATTTGCCTGTTTTAAGTATACAGTTTAATGATTTTTAGTGTATTTACAGAGTTGTGCACCATCAGCACTATCTAATTTTTGAACTTTCCATCGCTCCAAGAAGGAAACTGGTGTGCAAATCTAGGCCGCCACTAATTGACTTTCTATTTCTGTAGATTTGCCTTTTCTAGACATATACAGACAGTATCATACAATATGTGTCCTTCTGTGTCTGGCCTCTTTCACTAAGCATGTTTTTGAGGTTCATCCATGTTGTAACCTATAGGTGTACTTCATTCCTTTTATCCAAATAGTATTCCAATGCATGCATATACTGTTGTAAGCTCATCCCAGACACTCTATACTTCATTGCTTCATATTTAAGTGTATTACTTTTTTTAAAAAGACCAAAAATAGGGGCGCCTTGTTTGCTCAGTCCAACTTTGGCTCAGGTTATGATCTCACGGTCTGTGGGTATGAGCTCTGTGTCGGTGTCTGTGCTGACAGCTCGAGCCTGGAGCCTGCTTTGGATTCTGTGTTTCCCTCTCTCTCTGCCCCTCCCCCGCTCACTCTCTCTCTCTCTCTCAAAAATAAATAAACATTAAAAAAATTTTTAAGTCTAAAATAAAAAAAATTTTAAGACTAAAAAAAGCCACACCATTATTGTTCCTTTGAAAATGAGCATTCATTAATATCGTTAAGTATGTAGGTAGTGTTAGTTTCCTGATTATCTTGTAAGTGTTGTTTTGCAATTTGTTGCTGGGATCAGCTCCAAAAAATGGAGGATACGTTGCAATTGGGAGAATTGGAATTTTAAATAGGGTGGTCAGGATCGGCCCTGAAGAGGTGACATTTGAACAAAGAGTTAAAGGAAGTGTGGACATGAGCCATGCAGGCACCTGGGGTCAGAACATTCATGCAAAGGGGATAGTAGGCGTGAAGGCCCTGAGGTAGGAGACTGCCTAGCAAGTTTGGCAAACCATAAGGAGACCACGAGAAGACTTAGATGATAAGCTGAAATGGATCTCAAGTTAGGCTTACAGAGGTGGCCCGCCTTCTGGTCTGAATCCAGGAAAGCCAGGACCTCGACTACTTCCACCAATAGGAAAGGTTCTGTTTGCATCTATTCCCAGATCCTGAAGAGGAGCCACCTGCCCACACCCTTCTGAAGCCACACTTGGGAGAGCTGGCAGTGACGGATGCCACACCCGACTCCTTGCACCTCTCCTGGACTGTCCCCGAGGGCCAGTTTGACCACTTCCTGGTCCAGTACAAGAACGGGGATGGGCAGCCCAAGGCGGTGAGGGTGCCAGGGAATGAGGACCAGGTCACCATCTCAGGCTTAGAACCAGACCACAAGTATAAGATGAACCTGTATGGCTTCCACGGTGGCCAGCGTGTGGGCCCTGTCTCCACAGTGGGCTTAACTGGTGAGTGTGCAATAAAACACTGGGCCCTGCCCTAGCTGGACTCCAATTCTCTTTCACTGTCAGTATTCAGGTATTTTTGTCCCACTGTGCCTGAGACTGAGCCTCCCAAACTCACAACTCCACAATCATGAGCTGCTCACTCTACTGACTGAGCCAGCCCAGGTGCCCCAACATACAGACTTTTTGGTCCTTGAAGAGGCGGGACACCAGGGAAATAACATAGACTCAGGAAGACCTGGGTTTGAAGCTTCAGCCTATTCAAGCTATGTGACCTCAAGATCTTGAGTCACTCAATGTCTCGATGCCTCCTTTTCTTCATCTGTAATGAAGGAAGGGGAGAAAATTAGTTTCTGAAAATTCTCAGAATGAACTCTCATAATATTAGAATCCTGCTAACATGGATGCTATCACTTGGATGGTTAGTATCAGTCACATGTGTAACTTCACAAGACACTTCCCTTAATTCATTACTCACTAACAGGGTTATTTGTTGCTTTTGTTAAGTTCTTTGGAGCTATTACCCTTCAATCCTTATGACCCAGTTCCCAAACAGAACAGATAGGAAACAAGATGATTTTGTAATTCCGCTAGTAAGGAAGAATGAAACTCTATGCAGAACAGAAAAGATGAAAGAAATCTGAAGGCATGATGGGTCATCTGTACTGTAAATTACTGAGAGAGCTAATACAAGGTTCAAAACAACTCAATTGCAAAGATGATCTCATGTGGTCTCATCTCTTTGGCCTCAACTGTGAAATCTAAATTCCTCTGTAAAAATGCTCAGAAGGCTTCTAAATCAAAGGAGGTATTAAAAGAAAATACTCACAAAGTAGAATTTCCAAACCGGAGTAGATAGACCTTCTGATGTGACATACCTGCTATCCTTGCTGGTGTTATAAAGCCTTAGTTCCGTTCTGATGCACAGACTTGCTCTGCAGGTCCCAAGGGTTCAATGCATGAACATGTTGAGTATCATGGCAGTCCCATCCTACCACCATGTTGTCACCACAAGAGTATGCTCTGTCTGTTGGCTACTGAACATTCAAACCAGGGAAATGATGTCTTAACCCTGGGGAGCTAGCATCTAGGCTATGGGGCCTTGGCGTGCCTGGGAGGAATCCAAGTATTCTTTATGAGAAGGGAACACACAAAGTATTCCCACACATTCTCTTTGTCTCCTGATCCAGCCCCAGGAAAGGACCAAGAAATGCCAGCTCCAACAGAATCACCCAGCACGACTCCCAAGCCTCCCATCAAGCCGCGCCTGGGGCAGCTGGCAGTGACAGATGCCACCCCCGACTCCCTGCACCTCTCCTGGACTGTCCCCGAGGGCCAGTTTGACCACTTCCTGGTCCAGTACAAGAAAGGGGATGGGCAGCCCAAGGCAGTGAGGGTGTCAGGGAATGAGGACCAGGTCACCATCTCAGGCCTGGAACCTGACCACAAGTACAAGATGAACCTGTATGGCTTCCACGGTGGCCAGCGTGTGGGCCCTGTCTCTGCCTTTGGGGTGACAGGTGAGTGGATGGTGGAAGCCCCGGGGTGGGGCCAGCTGGGGGATCACCTCTCTCAGGTGATGGATGAGTGGGGTGCAGGAGGTCCCTTAGCTGGAGGCTGAGCCATGGTGGCCTTTGTGCCTCCCCCTGGGACTCCCTGGGGACCAAAGGGTCCTCCTGGGCAGAGAAGGGGCCCCATGAGCTGTGCTGGTGGCTGTCCAGGGTTCCCCACAGCTGGTCCTGGAGCCTCCCCAGCATGTTTGTGAGAGGTCAGCTGAGCAAGTCCACCCAGCCCCAAGGGTGGGTTTCTCTGAACTGAATTTGGGGCCCTCAGACATGGTCACAGTGCTCCATTCTTCTCCTAAGATCTGAGAACATCAGGGGGTCCTGCCTCATCTTCTCTGTGTCTCTTTTTCTCAGCTGCAGAGGAAGAGACCCCAGCCCCCACCGAGGTGGAGGAGACCCCCAGCCCCACAGAGCCCAGCACGGAGGCCCCAGAGACCCCCGAGGAGCCCCTGCTGGGGGAGTTGACAGTCACAGGATCCTCCCCAGACTCGCTGAGCCTCTCGTGGACCGTCCCCCAGGGCCACTTAGACTCCTTAACTGTCCAGTACAAGGACAGGGAAGGGCGGCCCCAGGTGGTGCGTGTCAGGGGTGAGGAGAGTGAGGTCACCATCGGGGGCCTGGAGCCGGGACACAAGTACAAGATGCACCTGTATGGCCTGCACAGGGGGCAGCGCTGGGGCCCCGTGTCCACTGTGGGCGTGACCGGTGAGTGATGGGGCAGGGATCAGAGGTTTTCAGGGAGAACTACCTTTTCTCAGTAGTAACCTGGATGATCGTTCTGCTCTTTTGCTGGTCCTTAAGGATCCAAGCCTCGGCCTCCATTTCATGCCTTTCCTCCATGGCCCTGGGCTGTGGCCTGTGCTTAGCAGTGTGGGATTTGCTGACCTGAAGCCTCATTATATACACTAGCATGACCTACATGATGGTCAGCCACTGGGCACCTCTAAGAATGCAGTGTGTCAGACACGGGCCAAGCATGCATACACACATGCGCGTGCCCGTGCACTTGCACGTACACATATGCATGCATGCACACATGCACACAAGAAAGAAAGAAACAGGACAACATCCAATCACATTGGGATGATTAAATACTTAGGCAACATCTATAAGATGAGCCATCACTGAAATGTTTTGACATAAGACAGCTACTTGATAATATTACATTGAAAAGGGAGCCCCCAAATTTTGTAAGGATGCTAATCACAGCCACTGAGAAATGGCAAAGCATGACAAGAAACCTGGAAAGAAACACATCTCACAGGATGCATGGTTTGTGGGGTAGGATAGAATGTTCCAGACCTTTTCTTGCTTTATTCTATTCTGTGTTGCCCAAATTTTCTTAAATAATGAGCATTTCTTTTATAGTCAGGGAATATTTCCTTTAAACATAATATCTTCTCCTCCCTTGTGTTCTTTCCATCTCCTCCCCAGCGCTCTCACACTTAACTTCATTCCTAATTTTGAAAAATTATTTCTAGCCACTAAGAAATTAGGGGGGCAAATCACAAGGTGAATTAAATTCTAAAAGAGCAGTCAGGGTGGCTTTTCTAAATCAGTGTGAGCCCAATGCTGATGCCTGGTGAGAGCACTTCACAGAGATCCTCTGCCGACACCGGGGATAGCCCCCTGTGAGGGCCTCTCCGTGGCTGTGGGGCTCACCGCCTCTATGACACCCAGTGAGCGGCTCCGGGAGGCTCACTGTCCTCTCCTGAGAATACTCCAGACAGAGGAACGATTTCACACAGCCTCTCTCTCTCCTGGGGGCTGGGCCTCTTTTTCTACATGCCTTCTAAGGAATGTGGCAGGAGCGGGAGAATGGGAATGACTGGAAACTGGATGTGAGAACAGCTCCCACCTTGAAGGAAAGCTTTGATCCACTGGTCAGTTTTATTGCCCTCTGTCACAGCAAATCACAAGCATACACAAAGTAAGGAGAGCAGGGTAAGGGACCCATGGCCCTTCTCCACACCCACCGTCGGGTGATCATTTTTGTAGTCCAGGGTTTCTTTCTAAGTCTACATTTTTCTGGTGAAATGAGTATCAACATTCTGGAATATGTAGATATGGAATATGGAAAAATAGGGAAAGAACTCTCTCACCTGAACCTTTTGACCCAATAACTGCCATTAATAACAATGTCAATAACACATCCTCTGTCTGCATTTCACGTGCAGTGAATGTTTCCACGTTGCAGAGTGGTCATATGATTCTTGGCTCGTCCTTTGTTTTTGCACTTTGGTTATATCCTGAGCATTTATTTTGCGGCTGCACAACCTGCATTACTCATCATTTTAATGGTTATTTGATGCTTCATGGTAAAAGTGCCACAACAAAATTAATCATCTTCTGTGGGCCATTTGGGTCCCTGAGACATCTTACTGTTATGAATAATCTCATAATGGACCCCCATGACACAACTTTTTCCTGCTTTTTCATAATTTTCTTAGGATAGCTGCCCAGAAGTGGGATTATTGGGTCAAAGGAAATGAGAATTACTTTGGCTTCTGACACACATCCGAATGACCTTCTTAATGTTTATGGTGCCTGCCAGTCCGTGTGTGATGGGGCTTGGGCCTGTCTCAGCACTCTCCATCAACCAGTTACTAGCTGCCTAATCCAAAGGCTCTCCAGCCTCTCTTCCTCACCTGGAGGAGTCATTGCTGAATGCACTTGTCCCATTCGGCACTTGCAGCAGAGAAGCTGACAACTAAGCCCCCATCCCCCTGTCTTCTCTCAGCACCTCAGGAGGTTGTGGAGGAGACCCCCAGCCCCACAGAGCCCAGCACGGAGGCCCCAGAGACCCCCGAGGAGCCCCTGCTGGGGGAGTTGACAGTCACAGGATCCTCCCCAGACTCGCTGAGCCTCTCGTGGACCGTCCCCCAGGGCCACTTTGACTCCTTCACTGTCCAGTACAAGGACAGGGAAGGGCGGCCCCAGGTGGTGCGTGTCAGGGGTGAGGAGAGTGAGGTCACCGTCGGGGGCCTGGAGCCGGGGCGCAAGTACAAGATGCACCTGTATGGCCTGCACAGGGGGCAGCGCTGGGGCCCCGTGTCCACCGTGGGCGTGACCGGTGAGTGAGAGCGACAGTGCGACTGGTGGGAAAGAAGGCCCTCCAAGCGAGGACCACACTTTGAGTAGCAAAACTCCTCACAACAAAGGAATTGGATGCTCTCCTAGAATTTGTTGGACAGAATTGCACTTGCATCCCTGATCCCTCCCAGAGGCTCAGCCTCTCTAGAGTTCACCGGAGGCTGTGGGGGGGAAGACAGAGGGTGCTCAGGATGCAGCATCCTGACCAAGACACCTCTGGCCTCATGGTTGGGGTATTACCAGACTTAGGATTCCCATGGGTCAATGAGATTGGGTGCCCTGAGCCAGGCACTGTGGGAGTTCACTAGGGGAAACCTGACCATGGCAGAGAGACAAGTTCTTATCATAATGGGGCTTCCAAGCACAGGGAGACAGGCTGTGAGCCAGCAGCCAGGCAACAGGGATGTATGTATGACAGGAAGCCCCAGGGCCAGGCCAGACTGGGCAGCTCGCCTAAGCTGGCCTGCCCACGGGTGTCCATGGGACAGCTGAGAACCGAGGTTGGGCAGGCATTAGCTTGGTGACAGTGTTAGAGTCAGATCCATGTCACAGCTGGTGCCAAGGCCTAGAAACTAGGAACATCATGGCCGATGAGAGGGACCGAGAGGATTTTTGTGTGAGATCCTGAGTTGGGGAGAGTCTTGAGATGGAGGAGAGTGGTAGCGGCAGCTCAGAAGCCAGGAATTTCTCCCGGGGATAGAGAGGTTTGTTGCACAGTTAGCTAAGGCTGACACCATCAGAGGCGCACTGAAAGGCTCATCCTGGTCCCCTGTGATGGAACAGATGGGACGGGGAGCAGGAAACCCAGTAGGGACGTGGTGACTCAAGTGCGAAGCAATGGCATTGGGGGGCTGGGTAAGGCAAGCCAGGCTGGTGGGATGCAGGTGTGAGGAGTGAGGAGACCAGGAGGAACTTAGGAGTGAGTTGCACACTCTTGAGTCTGATGGCAGCTGGGGACAGGAACACATCTAGGAAGATTCCAGGCTTCCAGTTGGGGGAAGGGGCTCTGAGCTGTTTGGGAGCAAAGACATGAGCCAAAGGGAGTGAGACGTCAAGGAGACGCCCCCATGGAGGGAGGCCCAGGGCACAGTGTGCAGGGGAGGTGGGTGCTGGAGAAAGTGGGAGAGGTGGCGGGCTGTGGGTAGGGGTGGGTGAGGGCAAGGTGAGATGAGGGTAAGGGGTCAATAAGGCCAACATTAAGGGACTGGGAAGAGTAGATGAGTTAGAGCCACTGTGGCCGGCAACGCTGTGTTCCTCATGTTTGTCATACACCCACTTATACGCTGACCTGCCTGCCCATCCTCACCTGTCCCTGTGTGTCTCTGTGCAGCTCCAGAATATGAAGCTATGACCACCCAAGCCCTGTCCACCATGGCACCTGAGCCTCCCATCAAGCCGCGCCTGGGGCAGCTGGCAGTGACAGACGCCACCCCTGACTCCCTGCACCTCTCCTGGACTGTCCCCGAGGGCCAGTTTGACCACTTCCTGGTCCAGTACAAGAACGGGGATGGGCAGCCCAAGGCGGTGAGGGTGCCAGGGAATGAGGACCAGGTCACCATTTCAGGCCTGGAACCTGACCACAAGTACAAGATGAACCTGTATGGCTTCCACGGTGGCCAGCGTGTGGGCCCTGTCTCTGCCTTTGGGGTGACGGGTGAGTGGATGGTGGAAGCCCCAGGGTGGGGCCAGCCGGGGATCACCTCTCTCAGGTGATGGGTTGAGTGGTCCCTTACCACTTACCCTTACCAGGAGGTCCCTTAGCTGGAGGCTGAGCCATGGTGGCCTTTGTGCCTCCTCTGGGACTCCCTGGGGACCAAGGGGTCCTCCTGGGCAGAGAAGGGGCCCCATGAGCTGTGCTGGTGGCTGTCCAGGGTTCCCCACAGCTGGTCCTGGAGCCTCCCCAGCATGTTTGTGAGAGGTCAGCTGAGCAAGTCCACCCAGCCCCAAGGGTGGGTTTCTCTGAACTGAATTTGGGGCCCTCAGACATGGTCACAGTGCTCCATTCTTCTCCTAAGATCTGAGAACATCGGAGGGTCCTGCATCACCCTCTCTGTGTCTCTCTTTCTCAGCTGCAGAGGAAGAGACCCCAGCCCCCACCGAGGTGGAGGAGACCCCCAGCCCCACAGAGCCCGGCACGGAGGCCCCAGAGACCCCCGAGGAGCCCCTGCTGGGGGAGTTGACAGTCACAGGATCCTCCCCAGACTCGCTGAGCCTCTCGTGGACCGTCCCCCAGGGCCACTTCGACTCCTTCACTGTCCAGTACAAGGACAGGGAAGGGCGGCCCCAGGTGGTGCGTGTCAGGGGTGAGGAGAGTGAGGTCACCGTCGGGGGCCTGGAGCCGGGGCGCAAGTACAAGATGCACCTGTATGGCCTGCACAGGGGGCAGCGCTGGGGCCCCGTGTCCACCGTGGGCGTGACCGGTGAGTGAGAGCTGGGGTCTTGACCCCAAGATATCCTTTCTTTGCTCTTTTGATTTCTCCCATTGGAGATCAGCACTCACAAATGGTTATAGGCCCCTCTCTTTCCTAATATGGTGCTGGTGATCTTGCCTCAGGCTTTAATTGAATGAGGACGATAGTGACTGTATTTAGGGTCAATAGGCATGTACCCTGGTCCTCATAAGTTTACCTGTATTCCCTAATATGGAACCTCAAACTTGCTTAATTTTTCATATATGGTATCCTCAAGCTCCCTGACTGGGCATTTTAGTGACCTAGAATGTTGCTGCAGAACTAGGTTCTCTGGGTTTAAATCCTGCTCTGAAGATCCTGATTGTGTGAATTCACAAACATTTCTTAATTTCTCTGTGCTGCAGATCCACACAAAATGGGCATGATAATAATACTGGCCCCCACTTTGTTGTGTGAGGATACTCTGTGAACTGGCAGAGTATCTGGCAATGCCTAGGACGCATTAAGCACTCTAGAAGTACTTGCTACAAAACATTCATTTCATAGCCTGGGCAAGGCACTCCCTCTCTCTCCTTCGAAGGGTCCTGGCTGTGACCTCTCAGCCTCCTCTGCTCTGTTCCAGCCTCTCTGCCCACAGAGCCCCCTGTGGAACCTCGCCTAGGGGAGCTGGCTGTGGTAGCCGTGACCTCTGACACAGTGCACCTCTCATGGACGGTGGCCCAGGGCCTCTTCGACTCCTTCCTGGTCCAGTACAAGGATGTGCAGGGGCGGCCCCAGGCAGTGACTGTGGGTGGACACCTCCGTGAAATCACCATTCCGGGTCTGGACCCCGCCCGCAAGTACAAGTTCCTACTCTTCGGACTCCAGGATGAGAAGAGGCATGGTCCTGTGGCTGCAGATGCAAAGACCTGTGAGTGAAGGCCAAAACCACCTTTGGCGCTGGAGCCTTCCCGGTGTCCTTCGCCCCCTTGTGGCGACCATTAGAATTCCTTGTTTCAGTGTTCTGCACTCCAGATCTATTTATTCACTGAGTCCAGTGAAATCCAGGTCCAGGGCTCCCCTCTTATCCCTCATTCTCATCCTTCTCCCTACTCTTCCTACAATCTGAGGGACACTGCTTTCTTCCTTGACGCATCTTTTATCCCTATTCCTCTGCCTCCCCACTTCCTGACATGTGGCCAACCCCCTCTCCCCCCAGCTCCAGGAACCATCTCCCACAGCCCTAGCACCCTGAGGAAACTCTATCTGCCTCTGTCACCATTTCTGTCAGTCTCCACACACCTCTCTCTCTTCTCCAGTCCCAGACACGAAACCTCTCCGCCTGGGGGAGCTGACAGTGACAGACCTGACCTCGGACTCTGCGAGCCTCTCGTGGACCGTCCCTGAGGGTGAATTTGACTCCTTCGTGGTCCAGTACAAGGACAGGGATGGGCAGCCCCGGGTGGTGCCTGTGGCCGCAGACCAGCGTGAGGTCACCATCCCCGGCCTGGAGCCCAGTAGGAAATACAAGTTCCTGCTCTATGGGCTGGCCGGCAGGAAGCGGCTGGGCCCCGTCTCTGCTGATGGCAGCACAGGTGAGTCCCAGCCCTGCACCTCACCTTTTCTAGAGCTACCTCCTATCCAAGCCCTGAGAGCTGCCCTGAACCCAAGCCTATCCATGAAGTTTAATTCTCTTGCCTTCAGCCTTTATAACACCAAAGCAAACATTTACTGGGTCATATTCTAAGTATTTTACATGCATTATTTCCTTCATTCACCGACTGCTGATGTAATAAAGAGAATCCAGTCTTTGGAGCCAAGTAGACCTGTGTTCAAATTACAGTTGCCAGTTTTGTGGCCATTGACAAGCCACTTCTTTCCCTTGAACCTGATTTTCTGCACCTGCTTTATGCTTATGAATAATAAATACTATTGCCACATTAATAAATGTTCACAACCTCCTCCCTCTGTCCCAACAGAGACAAGGAGTGGAAAATATGGAAGGTTTTGGCTGCAAAAAGACTATGGAAAAAATCTGGTGTCATTGTGCCCATTACTCAGCCCCCTGAGGAAGAGTGGAAGTGGGTCACTGACCCTTACTCCATTCCCAGGACCATGAGTCACCCTGGCCAGCCAGGGATGGGGCACAGGGTCGTTTGGGGCCTGGACAGTCACACTGCATAATTCTCTTCCCCAAACCCTCACTATAGGGAGTGAGTACAGGCTTCTCCCCTGACCCCATCATCCAATACCCAGCCCCACCTGAGCAGGTCTCTTCTGTGTTCTGCTCTGCCCTTTGTACTCCCAGTACCATCCCACCTGGCTGTCCTGGTCCAGTGGTGTTAGTGCAGGGCTGGGGAAGGAGCTAGAAGGATGGCCCAGGCTGATAGCAAGAGAGGGGAATGTCCTGGCCAAGCTCTGGGAGCCCATGAGCTTGTCTGGTTGCCCAGCCCGGCCCTTAGTATTTAACGGTACCTCCCTGACAACCCAGACACCCTCTGTGAGCCTTTTTCAGCTCCAGCCACATCCCCACTGAGGGGGCTAGGAGTCAGGGAGAAACTGAGGCCCTTTTCTACACCCTCAGGCATCCTACCTCACAAGGTGATCTTTTATGCATTTACTGCACCCTGACCGCGGCAAGGAGGGAGTGGGGGCAGGAAGGAGTTTGTGCTGTGGCCTCCAGAGGAGAGATCAAGCTGCTCACTCTCCTTCCTTTGGGCAGACTGCAGCTGCACTGCAGGGACCCTTTCCTAGACCCTCATGCCCCCCCCCCGAAGTTGCCAGGGGTGGAATAAAGACATCTCTTGACCAAGAGTTTTTCCTCCCACTCCCCACAGCTCCCCTGAAGAAGGAGCAGCAGCGCCCACCCCGCCTGGGGGAGCTGACAGTGACAGATGAGACCCCAGACTCCCTGCACCTCTCATGGACAGTGGCCCAAGGCCTCTTTGATTCCTTTGTGGTCCAGTACCGGGACACAGCTGGGCAGCCCCGGGCAGTGCCCGCGGCCCAAGACCAGCGGGAAGTCACCATAGAGGGCCTGGAGCCTGGCAGGAAATACAAGTTTCTGCTCTATGGCATCCACGGAGGACAGCGCCTGGGCCCCATCTCCATCCTGGGAGTGACAGGTGAGCAGGAGGCCCTGGGGCCTGCCCAGGGCTCTGGGGGAATGGCACAGTGGGACCAGCTCTGATGGGGACCAAGGAGCCCATCAAAAACTGGAACCAGGGCAAGCGTGAGGAAAGGCCCTGGCAGCAGTGCCCAGGGTCCCAGCCCCCGCCCTGCCCAGCGCCGCCAGCTGTGTCCCATCGCTCTACTGAAGCAGCTCTCACCGCCCCGCGGGGCGGCCTTGCCAGATAGGGGCAGACCCCTCCCGTGGATGAGTCAGGAGCACTTTTTGTCAAATGGAAAATAACTGGAATGGAAAATAGGCAAGAGACACAGCCACCCGTAGAAGTGGCTGCTGTGATGGAGCAGTTACTAACACCCCCGCTCAGGTCAGGGGGATGGGGCACTTGGGCCTGACCCGGAGGGTGTGATTTGCGCTTCTGGCTCACCAGCCAGCTGCATCCTCTGCTTTTCTCAGGAGGACCTTGTGTCCCGAGCTCAGGGAGTGACCAGCTATTCCCACCTCAGGCCATCAGCCTAGGCACCCAGGGAGGGTGAGGAGGGAGCAGGCTGTGCAGACGTCTTGAGGCACAAGAAGACATGGAGGTGGAAAAGGGGGAACACGTGCCTGCCTCAGCCACAGCAAGGGAGCCAACAGAAGGCTCATGGGGCCACAGTGCTGGCTCTCAGAGAGGCCCACGGGTGGCAGGAATCAGTGCCAAGGCAGGGAAATGACAGATTCAAGAGAAGGAAGATGCTAGAAGAGCCTCGGTCACCCCCTGCTCAGCGTCTTCCCTGGGTTTCTCGCACACAGCCCCGGAAGTGGACACGCCAGCCCCCTGGCACCCAGCCACAGAGGCCCCTCAGCGCCCTGAAGGGCCCCAGCTAAGGACACTGGCAGTGAGCAACATAACCCCGGACTCCATGCACCTCTCGTGGAGTGTGGCTCAGGGCCCCTTTGACTCCTTCGTGGTCCAGTATCAGGACACAGATGGGCAGCCCCAGGCCTTGCTCGTGGATGGCAACCAGAACAAGGTCCTGGTGTCTGGCCTGGAGCCCAGCACCTCCTACAAGTTCTTCCTCTATGGCCTCCATGAAGGGAAGCGCTTGGGGCCCATCTCAGCTGAGGGCATCACAGGTACCGCCGGTTGAGGGCCCTGTATCTAGGCCTCCCCCACCTCTAGTCTGGGACGGAAAGGGCTAAAGGGGGTGCCCAGAGGTGGTGACACATAAGCAGGGTACTATAGAGGGAGGCAGGGGTGCACTAGCAGTCTTTTGCTCTACACACGCGTGCTCACTGTGAGTGCCAGCCCCTTATTAGCTCCATTTCACATGGAAACTAGGGTCTATGGTAGGGTGGTAGAGGAGAGCTGCCCAGCCCACTGAGGCGGTGTGCTTCTGTCTCCCACATGCTCTGTGCAGGGCCTGCTCCTGCTGGTCAGGCCTCAGGGGAGCCAGGGCCCCGCCTGTCCCAGCTGTCGGTGACTGATGTGACCACCAGTTCGCTGCGGCTCAACTGGGAGGCCCCATCTGGGGCCTTTGACTCCTTCCTGCTCCGCTTTGGGGTCCCATCACCAAGCACTCTGGAGCCCCACCTGCGTCCCCTGCTGCAGCGGGAGCTGATAGTACCGGGGACACGACGCTCAGCAGTGCTACGGGACCTGCGTCCAGGGACCCTATACAGCCTTACATTGTATGGGCTGCGCGGGCCCCACAAGGCCGACAGCATCCAGGGCACGGCCCGCACCCTCAGCCCAGGTAAGGCCCCACGTTGGGCACGTTCATGTGCTGCCCCAAAGGAGGAGGGGGTCTTTGTACTTTGTAGGGTGGGACCTGGTGCCTCAGCCAGAGGGAAAGTCAGTGAGTGGTGGAAGGCTTGGAGGAATCTACAGAGACTTCCTTTTCTAGATCTAGAGGAAAGGGTGGTGGTGAGCAGGTCTGGAGCCACTGGGGCCCTGGAAGAAGGGGTGAGGACCCTGGGGCCAGAGGCCCCCTTCTCTTGCCCTCACCGCTGCTCCTTGGCACACACCCCCTCAGTTCTGGAAAGCCCCCGTGACCTTCAGTTCAGCGAAATCGGGGAAACTTCGGCCCAGGTCAGCTGGACGCCTCCACCATCCAGAGTGGACAGCTTCAAAGTTTCCTACCAGCTGGCAGACGGAGGTGATACCCTTTTACCCGTGTCCTCATCTGCCCTCATTTCTCCTGCTCCACTCGCCCTGCAGCTCTTCCTTGATTCCCTGGGCAAACTCCCAAGCCCAACATGTTTGTAGGGGAGCCACAGAGCGTGCAGGTGGATGGCCGAGCCCGGACCCAGAAACTCAAGGGGCTGATTCCAGGCTCTCACTACGAGGTGACAGTGGTCTCCGTCCGTGGCTTTGAGGAGAGTGAGCCACTCACAGGCTTCCTCACCACAGGTAGGATGGACTGGGACCTGGGCAGGAGGTAGGGGGAGAATGAATGGGGAAGGGAAAGGGGGGTGAGGCCAGCTGGAGTTGGGAAGGTGAGAGGTGGGGAGAGGAGTAGGGACAGCTCTGAGCCCCCTCCCTTCTTCTAGTTCCTGACGGCCCCACCCAGCTTCGTGCACTGAACTTGACGGAGGGATCCGCTCTGCTGCACTGGAAGCCCCCCCAGGCCCCTGTGGACACATATGATGTCCGTGTCACAGCCCCCGGGGGTGAGCATGGCTGAGGCCTCTGGAGAAGACTCCTTCAGGGAGGGGAGAGAGGCCCCGGCAGGGCACAACGGGGGCAGATGCTGATGCTTACCCCCTCTCCCAGCCCCCCCTCTGCAGGCCTCAGCCTCTGGCAGTGCTGTGGACTACCCTCTGGGTGGCCTTGTGCTCCACACCAACTACACGGTGACCGTACGTGGTCTTCGCGGCCCCAACTTCACCTCCCCGGCCAGCATCACCTTCACCACAGGTACGGCCTGTGAGGTGTGCACAACAGGGGGAGGGAAGGTTCAGGGGAGCTAGGATGGGCCTCATCTCCATCTTCCATTCCCACCTTCCTCTCCCAGGGTTGGAGGCCCCCAAAGACTTGGAGGCCAAGGAAGTGACCCCCCGCACGGCCCTGCTCACTTGGACTGAGCCCCAAGTCCCGCCGACTAGCTATCTGCTCAGTTTCAACACGCCTGGTGGACAGACCCAGGTGCCCCCATCCCTCCTCACTGGCCAACTCCCCTCTCGGGAGGTACTGCCCCCTCCTCTGGCTTTGCCAGTGGGGCTCTGCCTCCCTCTCCCCTGACCTGCTCCCTGTGTGTCCCACAGGAGATCCTGCTCCCAGGAGGGGTCACCTCTCACCAGCTCCTGGGCCTCTTTCCCTCCACCCCGTACAGCGTGTGGCTCCGAGCAATGTGGGGCGAGAGCCTCACACAGCCCGTGTCCACCTCCTTCACCACCGGTATTTGGGCACTGGGACCTAAGGTCAGGGGCTGAGCAGGCAACAGGGGTCTAGAGTTTGAGAAGAGGACTGGCCCCTCATTCTCCTCTCCTCAGGTGGCCTTCGGATCCCCTTCCCTCGGGACTGTGGGGAAGAGATGCAGAACGGAGCCAGCACCTCAAGGGCCACCACCATCTTCCTCAATGGCAACCGAGAGCGGCCCCTGGATGTGTTTTGTGACATGGAGACTGACGGGGGCGGCTGGCTGGTGGGTGGCAGACGGGACCCCAAAGGGCACAAGGCAGGGGCTGCTGAGCCAGGAGCCATCGGCTGATGGTGCCTCCACCTGCTTCCCTTCTTCCCAGGTGTTTCAGCGCCGCATGGACGGACAAACAGACTTCTGGAGGGACTGGGAGGACTATGCCCATGGCTTTGGGAACATCTCTGGGGAGTTCTGGCTGGGTCAGTGCCTCACAGGGCTTGGGGACCAGAGAAGAGGGGTACGTCCTGTGGGCACCAGAACCCTGATGAGAGCACTCTCCCTACCCCTAGGCAATGAGGCCCTGCACAGCCTAACGAAAGCCGGCGACTACTCCATGCGTGTGGACCTGCGGGCTGGGGATGAGGCCGTGTTTGCACAGTACGACTCTTTCCGAGTGGACTCTGCTGCCGACTACTACCGCCTTCATCTGGAGGGCTATCATGGCACAGCAGGTGAGGGGTGGGCCTGGGGGCTGTGGAAGGTGGAAGGTGTGGGGGGGGAGGGGAGGCCCTCACTGCTCCTTCTACACCTGCGCAGGGGACTCCATGAGCTACCACAGCGGCAGTGTTTTTTCTGCCCGTGATCGAGACCCCAACAACTTGCTCATCTCCTGTGCCGTCTCGTACCGTGGGGCCTGGTGGTATAGGAACTGCCACTATGCCAACCTCAACGGGCTCTATGGGAGCACAGTAGACCACCAGGTGAGGGGCCTGGGAGGCAGCCCAGGCCAGGAATGGGTTGGGGCCCAACCTATGGGGTGTGGCAGGACAAGTTACCGCGCCCCTTGGTGCCCCAGGGCCCTTATCTGTGAAATGGGACAATAATGCCAGTCTCACCAAGTTATCTGAAGGGGGAGATGAGCACGATTTATTGGAAGTGAAGGACCAGCCCAGATTAAGCCTCAGTCTTTGCCGTTGAGGATCGTAAAGTGGGTGGGGGGAGGAAGGGTGATTGACTTCTGGGAACCAGGCAGGGGGTGAGAGCGGATGGGATGTCTGCCTTTGACTCTGTCTCAACGACTCCTCTCCCAGGGCGTGAGCTGGTACTACTGGAAGGGCTTCGAGTTCTCTGTGCCCTTCACGGAAATGAAGCTGAGACCAAGAAGCTACCGGCCCCCAGAGGTGCGGGGAGGCTGACCACCGCTCACCTCTCCAGCGCCCCAGTATGACTGCCGAGCACTGAGGGGTCGCGCTGAGAGAAGAGCCAGGGGCCACCTTCACTATCCAGCCACCGGAGGGAGCCTTCTCCGTCAGCGATCTCACAGCACCATGTTTACAGGGGGGGAGGGAAGGGGTTTGTACGGGAGTAATAAAAGGAGAAACTGAGGCGTGTGTCCGGCGTGCGTCCTGCCCTGTCACTGGGGCTGCTCCAGCCCCAGAACGTCTGTTCCCCGGGGCAGTAGCCGCACCTGGAAAGGCTGCATCGTGAGGTTGACGCCAGAGTGGGATCTGGGTTGCAGAGAGGGTAGAGGGCCCGCGGGGGGCAGCAACGTGAAGGTGTGGAGCAGCCGTGCCAGCACCACAAAGAGCTCGAGGCGTGCCAGCGGCTCGCCCAGGCACACACGTGCCCCGCAGCCAAAGGCCAGAACTCTGGGGCTGGCGCCTGGGACCAGGAAACGATCTGTGGGCAGAAGGACAGGCCCAGGGTTTACTAGCCACTGGCACTGGCCTCTGCCGCCCCCACGCCACAGGCACCCTCCCCGCCACACACCCGGCCAGAACTCGTGTGGCCGCTCCCAGACGTTCTCATCCAAGTGGGCGCCTTGCAGGTTGGGGATGACAACCGTGCCCTCGGGGATGTCGTAGCCTAAGATGCTGAGGAGAGGGTAGGGTCAGAGACCCGTCAGGACCCCCCTTTCCATCCCACTCATCCTCAGTTCTTGGAGGTCACCTGCTATGCCGAGTGGTGCGGTGAGGCAAGGCCAGGGGCACCACGGGTCGCAGGCGCAGCACCTCAGCAATGGTGGCGGTGAGCAAGGGCAGCCGTGCAGGGTCTTTGAACGGGACTCGGGAGCCCGAAATCCCAGGGCCTAGTTCACGATCCAGTTCCTCCTGCAGTCGCTGCTGAATCTGGGAAATGGGAGCAAGCCTGGTGTCTGGGGCCAGAGCCCTGTGCTAGCTGACCCACAGCCACTCGGCCTCCCAGGCTCTGGCCCCTCCCTGAAGCAACCCAGCAGAGCCCTTGGGTGAACAGAGTCTGCCTGGGGGCCTCATGGGCTGAGTTCCTATGGCCCTGGCCAGGCTGTCCCCAGGGTGCACCTCAGGGTGGTGAAGCAAGAATGCCACAGCCCAGGAGAGGGTGGTCGCCGTCGTCTCAGTGCCACCAATGAAAAGGTCCACCACAGACATATGCACGTGTCCTTCAAGGAGCCGTCCATGGCCCCTTTCTGCTCTTGGCTTCCCCACCCCTTGGAGCATGTAGTCAGTCATGTCCCTCCACTGGCCTGCCACCATTCTGTCCTGTGAGGGGGAAGACGACCCAGCCTGAGTGCCGGGCTTGGGGAGAGGGGTCTCAGGAGAGCAACGGGTCCAGGACTGGAGCGACACCTAGCTCCGGGGCAGTGGTATCCCTGGCTGTGGGCTACGGGGCAGCCGGGTCCGCACAGCGTTCCCACCTTGTGCTGCTTCAGCTGCTTCTCTACAATGCGGTCCCTTTTCTCCAAGGCCTGCTTCAACCTCCAGAGGCCTGGGTTGGGGAAGAACTGGGGCAGGGAGCATGAGTGGAGCTGTTGGCAAGGAAGCCTGCACCCCCACCCCTTTCTCCCAGGACCCAGGGAGTCTGGGCTCCACTCCTCACCCTGAGAAAGGGAACTATGTCCAAAATTTGAATGGACCAGTGCTCCCAGGTTTTCATCAAATCGTGGACACAGTCATGAAAGACATGTACTAAGGTGTCTTCCTGCCAAAAAAAAAAAAAAAAAAAAGGGGGTGGTGGTGGTGGTGGTGGAATCCTTTCAATTCAAGACCAGAAAGGGCCAGGGAGGGGCTAAGGAAGGGCCCAAGCACGTATGTGAGGGCAAGAGAGCCTTGACCTTGTCTCCAAAGGTGAGGTAACAGATGATACTGCAGGTGAGGAAAGAGAACTCCTTCTGGATGGCCACAGGGGTGCCGGCCTGGGCTCTCATGCGCTGTGGAGAAGGAGCAGGAACTAAGTGGGCCACGGAGCTGCGGGAAGAGGTGAAGCTGACCTAGGGTGGCTGTGGGAGTCCAGCCTCACCTCACAAAACTCCCGGGTCATTTGCTCCACCAGTGGCTCCATGGAGTTGCGGATGCCCAGCAGCAGGGCTGAGCGGGTGAGTTTCTTGTGAGCCTTCCAGAGCAAGGAGTAGTCCCCTAGTGAGAGGTCCTGGTGGTCCTGAGATACCAGCTTATCTGCGAGTAGGGGAGGGGCCAAACTGACCAAGGAAGCCACAGGCCTGACCTTTTCTGCCTCCCCCAGCCTGTTTCTTCACTCGAGAAATGCCCCAACGCTTACAGGAGGGCATCTTGGGTCTGCCAGCAAAGTCCACCCATCTCCTGATCATGGCCTCCTCAATGGTCCTTTTAGAGTTCAGCACCACCACATCTGGGGGAGAGCCAAAGCAGGATGTCAGCAGGGAGAGGCCCCTACCTTCCCACTGTAGGGGGGCCAGGGAGGAAACAGACTCACCTTGCAGCCCGAGGCGGAGCCTATAGACAGGGCCGAGTTTCTGAGTCAGACCAAGCAGATAGATGGGAAGGTCGGGCTGCAGTAGGTGCAGGAAGCCAGGAGCAAGAGGTGGGAGGTGGAGGCTCCTGTACTTCCACTTGTCCCACAGCAGGCAGGCGCCGGCCAGCATGGTCAGCAGCAGCAGCGCAAGAAGTAGCATGGCCAGAGACCCATGCATAGGCCCTGGTGCGGCCACTTATAGTTTTTGAGGCCCTTCATCCATCTTGCTGCTCGGGCTATTTTGAGGCCTCCTTGAACTCCTTCCCTCAGGTCCCTGCCCACTGTTCTGCCCACACATTCTTGGCAGGACAGCAGTCCTCCTGGCCTTGGGGAGTCCACATTTTAAAGAACAAGCCTCTCATCCATCAAGAAGAAAGGAAGCGAAACGCAACCCTGACCTTTCTCCCACAGCCGGAATCGGTTTTCTGGCTGGACATCAACCATGCAGAAAAACATAGTCACTCTCTGGCCTGAGCCTTCTCCACCCACCACCCTGCCCTGGACCACGTTACTGCCACCGACTTTGCCTCAGGGAGACAATAGCCATCCATACTTAATATGCTGCCCAGGATTGCCCAAGGAACAAAATGAGTTGAAAGTGGCCTGCATGTTTTTAACTTTGAGATGGGGTGACCACATGGCCTGTTTTGCCTGGGTCTTCCCAGTGCAATTATTAACTGTGCTGTAGTTCAGCCTCAAAAGTTGAAGAAGATGAATTATATGGTCCCCCAATTTAGAGCCCTTATTAGGTACTTGATATACTCTTTGGTCGCAAGAAAAGAGACCAACTTGAGCTGGCTTGAGCCAAAAATAAGAATTATTCTACAAATACAGGAGTATCTCAGGGAGCTGAATGAAGAGCAGGAAAGGGAACCTCACTGGCCTTGGAAGGCCAGGGACAGAGGAAGAGAAAGGCTGAAGAGAGGGGCCAGCTCCTCACTCTTCGCTCCTCCCTCCTCTTTGTCTGCCGCCCTGTCATCTCTCTCTGCCGTCCAGCTGCTTGAGACCCAGGTGCAGGCATAGTGGGACTGTCTTCAGGGTCTGAGGCCTCAGGTTACAGGTCCAGCCCCAGGGTGAGGGAGGGTTCCCGGCATGACTGAACATGCCCCCCACAGATGCCAAAGTCCCCAGGAAAGAACCGGATAGCCACAGCTGGGATCAGGGGTCCAGCCGTATCCGGGAAGCTGCTGCCATAAGGGCTGGGGACCTAGCAGAGCAAGCAGAGCAGACCAAACCACTTTTTTTTTGAGCAAGAAGACAGTCAAAGGGCTCAAAGGAAGGGCTTAGGGAGAGAGCATGTCGAAGGGGTGACCGTGCTGAGAGGTCAGGGCTGCCTGAGGGGTGGGAGGTGCCCATCCCCCAGCTCCGCATCCCTGGCTCTGAAAACTGATCCCAGCACCCAGGACTGGTTAGACCTTCTCTTCTTGAGCTTTACCCAGAGCACAGGCTATGTGGCTGGAGACCCTGCGTGGAGACACTGGCTGTGCCACCCACCAGCTTGAAGAGGTAACTGCTGGTGTTCCTGGTGGAAGAGGCTCTGACGGGGAGGCAGAAAGCAGGGGTGGGATGTCCAGGGTCGGGCAGTCACTAATAGCTACTCCCTTCCTCCTAGTTGACCTCCAAGACCCAGGCTATGTCTTGTTACAACTGCAGCTGAATCCCTGACTCTCATAAATTGGGTTTATGCCACCCCATGCTGACTAGCTCTGGGGAGAGAGATCTGATGGGCAACTACAGGGCAATAGAGGCAACAGCCCTAGGAAGCCTCTGAAATCCTGAGGAAGGCCAGAACGTCTCAAAGTTGCATGGAATAGGAGGGGACTGCATTCAAAAGAATAGTGACCTGGAAAGCTGGCATGATTGTGAACAAACCTTCATAAACCGACTTGATTACCCTGCCGGCCCTATCTCTTCCGCCCCACCTCCAATCCAAGAGTGACATGAAGCAGTGCCCCCAGACGTGCCGGGTCCTGGGCCCTTTATATTCTCCTTCGTCAGCCTCAAATTCCCTTGTTTACCTCCAGTCTCTTTGCCTGATTCCTCAGCCTTCAGAACCCAACTTAGATGCCACTTCCTGCGGGAAGTCTTTCCCTCCTCACTTCCCCCAGATTGGGTCAGATGCCCCAACTGTGTGTCCCACAGGACCGACCATTCAGCCCCCAGACATCACACATTTCATGGGGGATGGGGACCTGGCACAGGGAAGGTGTGGCATGGGGTGAGAGGCCCACAAATTGCTGTTGGATGACTGAACGGCAGGCTGCTGAACAGACTCAGCTTCCATCAAAACTGATCTCGGCAAATTTCTCTAGATGGATTCCTAGGTTAGCCCTGAAGTCCCAAGGGCTGCCCCCACATGGGGGACAGCGAGGCAGGCCGGTGAGAAGGGTTCACCCAGTAAAACAGCAGTCTCCCCAGTGCACTAACATGCATAACACTGGGAAAGCTACCTAATGCCAAGTAACATTAGACCAACCATCAACAGACTTTCAAGAGACCAGATCTCAACCCTAGAACTCCCAAGAGCACAAGGGCAGAGCAGGAAGCGTGTGGCCAGACAGCCACTCATAAGGCAGAAGAGCTGAGGTGTTAAGCTGAGCACAAGGCCTGCGTGAGGCCACAGCGACCGGCTATAGCGGGGCAGTGCAGCGCCCCACAGGCACAGCAGAAGGGAGGCCTCGGTGTGGTGCTGGATCCTTAGGGTGCAGGCTGATGGATCACAAGTCTACTCAGGGTGGCCCTATGATAGACTGAGCTCCCAGGGTGTCATGTGGGAGTGTTCAGGGCGAGCTGGAGACCACAAGGGTCATCCAGGCTGTGAGCACCTAAGATTATGCAAATCCTGGCTGGCCTGGGCCCCTCAGAACCTGGTGGGGACACTGCACTCAGTCCTGGAGACACACACTGACACTTTGCTGCCAGAGGCCTTTATTGAGTCCCTGGTTCTGCCCAGGAGCCGATGTCCAGGAGCCAGGGCACAGCTCCAATCCAGGCATCCCCTTTCCCTGGCTCAGGCTCCTCCTGGGGAAGATGGAGGGGCAGCCCTTACACCTGGCACCCCTGAGAGCCATACTTCTGAAGGAAGTCATCGAGCTGGGTGCAGGCTTCCCGATGGCGGGTGCTCCGGCACAGGCGTTCAGAGGGCATCTCCTCAATCCAGCTATTCGAGTCCAGCAGGTACTGGGGGCTGTAGGGGCAAAGGGGCAGTCAGCGGGGGTGGGGAGAATGGGCAGGTGGGAGAGGAGAGCATGAAGTGCCTGGCTTCCGAGGCACCAGGGTCTGGGTGCTGGGGACCATTCCCCCATGAAGTGTGAGGAGAGCGAGAGACAGAGGGGCCCTGAGAACTCACTCTCCCTTGAGGTCATAGGTAGCCCCGTCCAGGCCCAGGATCAAATATTCTTTCCCAGTGTCCAAGCGAAGGCGGCAGGAGGCTCGAACGAGGAAGTTTCGGGTCTGACCAGCAGTGGCCTTGGTGTCCTTGGCTGAGAGGATAACGTGCACGAGAGTTGTGAGAGGAGAAGAGAAGGTGCAGGACAAGCTGGGACCAAGGGCTGTGCACGGACCCTCTCATTTTGCCCTCACTGCCCCTAGTGGGGAGCTACAACTGCTTTCCTATTTACGGATGATGCCAAAGGGATTTGAGCTCAGACTCTGAACTTGAGTTATTCCAAGCAGCCGGGCCACAAACCCTGACCTCAGCAGCCCCCTAGCCCCACCCGCCCATCCGTTCCCTTCATACTGAAGTGCAGGACTTGGCTGATTCTGGTCTCGAAGAGGCGAAAGGCGGCTCTGCCATCTTCTCGGAGGACCTTAACCTGGAAGCCTACGAGGGAGTTCAAGAGGGTTGGCCCACCTGCAGCCAAGAGGAGCAGGCCCAGGCAGAGAGGCCTTGGGTGTGAGGGAAGACTGACCGTACTGCACTCGGGGGTAGTAGCAGGCAAACTTCATTCTGTACCCCGCCTCTTCCTGCAGGCCCCGCTCCAGCGCACGACGCTGTCGAGGACACTTCCCTGGAGACAGGAGGCCCCCCCATGAGACAGCGTAGCCATGAGCCTCACCATCTTCCCACCCCCTGCCCCAGGCCCTGGCTCTCACCCTCAGCACACTGGCAGACATCAGCAGAGCACAATGTGGACAAGAGTTTGCTCTTAGTGGGCGCCCCATAGAAGATAGAGCATTTGTGCTCTGAAGAAGAAAGAGGGCAGTTAGAATGCAGGCCCCCCCCCCCCACACTGCCTCCTCAGACCCAAGGAGCCACAGGACATCCCTGCCATCCTGCACTGCCCCAGGTCCCGATGTCCAGTATGGGGACACCTACCCCAAACCTCCCAAGTGCCCCCCAAGTCCTCACCGGGGTTGTAGAAATCATACAGGGCTGCAGTGGCCGGCTGTACTAGCCCCACGGCCACCTCCTGCACGGCTCCAAAGCCCACGCACTCCCGGGAGGTGGGGACCTGGCACAGTGGGGAGGAGAGGTCAGGGGCACACACCCTGGGCCCTGCAAGCCACTGTGCTGCATATCCTTGACCTGTCTCTGGTTCTCATTGGTCTTATCTTCAGTGTCCGTCACATTCTATTACCTTCCAGCTGCCAGAACTCTAAGAACTGCTCCCCAAGGTCTCTGCTGATCTCACTGCCAGATAGTGACCTCATTCCAGTTTCCAGTGCCCCTGGTCCCTCTGCAGACTCTCACATCATGGACACATTCTGCGGGAGACTCGCCAAGCTTAGGGTTAGTTTCTGGCCATCCCTGGTTCTGACCTTGCCATTCCTCACCGCTTCTTCCTTCCCAGAGGTGCAGTCCCCAGCCCTGGCTCCTCCTGTCCCCCGCACTTCCCTGAGGAGGTCTCAGCCACTCCCTGGCTTTCACCAAACCCTTCCAGGCTGATTCCAAACTAAACATTCAGCCTCATTCTTGCCTTAGGATTTTTGTGCGACCTACAAGTTCTCCGAATTTACTCTGTCTGCCCCCAAAGCCTATCCACCCTCCTGACAGCCTTGCTTCCTCACCGAGGCAACTGGTCTTCTTTATCTGTCACAACCTAATAGCAGCTGCTGTCACTCTCCCATCCTCCATGACCCTGCAGCTCACAGCTTGGGCCCAGACCCAACACATCTTTTTCACATTTTCTCCAAGAGATTACAGTTAAAGTTCAAAAA